TGGCTCTTCTACTTTTGCTTTGCTTTGCTAACCCCACCGTGAAGGTCTCTCCAGTCTCGACATCGTGTTCTGTGTGGCGTAGAAGACGCTCTACAGTACTCAAAAATGTACTTAAACCCATAAGATACATATGTACATACATATCTGCGCCTAGTCTGTGCACACACAGAGTTAACAATTTGTAGATTCAAACACATGTGTATAGTACAAGTGTATTGTATGTGTGTCAATGTTAAAATTGATTTTGATCGCGTGCATGCCTTTAAATACATGCACAAGTATGTACATACAAAGAAAAAAACATACATATACATACATATATATCGTACATAAATCTGTATGGTGTGAATACGGAAAGGCTCATTCATTTTATGCACTGGGTGGGGTGCATGTGTCAGACCTCATCGGCGAAGAGCGAACCGAGAGATAACAACTTACATATTGGAAATGAAGTGTTTGTCTGTTATACTGAACTCTACCGTCAACACCTTTTATGATAAAAATATAGAGAAATTATGCATCAATTGATGAGACGTTAAATAAATTTATAGATTCCCATTAACGATCTAGCTTTTTTGTCTTCTTCTGCATACCAATACATATTTGTTTAACAGGCGAGAAAACATTTGAATATTCGAAAAATATTGCAAATCGAATAGAAAATGAAATTGCAATTTGCATACGTTATTTTTTAAATGCATCGTGCAATATTTAATCAAAATTTAATTTTCTACAAAATTGGAACATTATGTGTTCAATCAAAATTCACTCTCAGTCCCAAATTGTCATTATTGTACAGCAAGCTGATATTATATTGGATTTATTACTTAAATACCATAGATTCCAAAAGCATATGAAATTAAATACAATTTACTGCTCTGCTATAAAAGTTCCTAACTCGAAATTGATTTTGAAATTATTGTGTTACTCGTCCATGGGTTTTATCACAAATATCATATAGCTGGAAACAAATACACATACAAGTATATAGACCTTTAGACCAATCTACAAAATGTAACCAAATCATGCAAATAACAATAGTGAGAAGCTTGTACGTACATATGTATGTATGTACGAGTACCTGCATTTTTGCTATATCGGATGCATGAAGGCGTATATATACGAGTAGGGCTCAGTTTACGTGACGTTCAGCTTCAAAAATGTGTCTGCGTCATTGCTGCGCCAACAAATAGTTATTTATTGAATAGTTCCAGCATTGGTCGATAACATCGATCAAAGTTTTACCTTTAATCTGGAATCAGAATCGAAGCTCTATTAACCACCTTTCCACAGTTGGCAATTACACGTATGTATGCACAAGCCTGTATATTAATGGGAATACATACAGACTTGGTTATGTATGTACGAGTATGTGTTTATGCATTTTTATTGTTTCTCTTTGTTGTGATTAATGGTTGCGTTACAATTGGGATTTAGTGCGCGACTGACTCAAGTGGCTCCAAATCTGCACCGCCAACGCCACCACCACCACCACCACCAGCAATGCCAACATTGCAACCACAGCGCTTCACTTCAGTTTGTCTGAGCGCTTATAAACATCTTTCATGCTTTTTCAATTATTTTTTTTAGAGTTTGTTGTTTTTTTAATTTTGCGCCACAATTTTAATGTTGAAACCATAAAAGTGCCCATGTGTGTGCAGAAACCAAAGTTTTAATTTTTTGTTTTTAGACATCGCTGCCTCGTTACCAACAACAAATAAACATGAGCATAATAGCACATAAAGAGCCCAAAGTGTGGAAGGCAAGGCAAGGCAAGCACTTGAGAAAGAAAACTGAAATTTGTTTCAAATTTGAAAACTCACTTTGGCATGGCGAATGGCTTAGTCACGCCACTTGCCGCAATTTTGACCGACTAAGTGTGCGGGTTTATGTACTCGAATCTATCTACATACATACATACATGTATAGTATACAATTGTATCTGTACTAAGCGTACTTATGAACAAAAACATTTGCGCAGCGTATTTGGTAAATATTTAAACAAAAATGCAGACAGAAGTTATGAAATAGTAGACAGGTGGGTGGGTGGCTGCTCGGAGTTTTAAATAACTGAACAGTTTTTTCCAAGTTCCCAGTCAAACTAAGACGAATTTTAAAACCATCGCTTAAACTTAGAAATTCAAAAATTGCATACTACTTAAAATTATTTTCATTTACAATTTGTTGAACAATTTCAAAGTAAATAAACGACGTATAACAATATTTATAATTAAATGATAAAGAGCCTCAGCATGAATAAATGTTAATTTTCGATCCATAATGTAATAAAAGCAAAAATATTATTGCTAAGCTATAACTTTTGTAGGTAATTGCGTATAGCCCTCTCCTTTTGGATATAGAACGCATCGGTATACCGATGGCCAGCAACAGATTTTCAGCTACAGATTCATAAAGTGACTTATCCGTAGTGGCAAACGCTCAACGGAGCTCTGTGAGTTGCTCGGCTGTAATAAGAACTATGACAGGACACTGGCTGGTTGGCACCCATGCCGCCAGACTACGGCTTCCCTAGGACGACCCACCTCTTCTGCGACTGCCTGGCCTTAATCGAAACCGGTATCTGGGAGCCAAATTCCTCCCCCAGCTCTCAAAACTATCCTATACGAAATCGAAGGATATATCACAATTCTTCAAAGCGTATGGGTGACACCAACGGCTTGATATTTATGAATAATAGGCGTATAAATAATCAATTTGTGAATTAGTAGTTTCGATGTCAAAACACGTTTATTTTTAAATAATGAATTAATTAACATATTCAAAGCATGCATGTTTCACACAAGTCCTACTCTCCGAATATGAATCTTTTATGCATTGAAGCTAAACAAATGTATATGTCTGCTTAAAAATTAACTAAATTATTATTTGCATTACATAATAAATTTCGATTTATTTTGAGTCGCTCTTGACTTGGACAAAGAATTAGGATAGAGCGTTTTGTCTAAGCATTTAAAAAATCAAGTTCTGTAGTACAAGTATATATTAACCATCAATCTTTGTTAGCTGCTCTACTCACTAATGTTTAAAGATGATAAAGTGAGATACGCACAACCCGCAAGGAGATGGGACCATGTAATATAAGATGCAATCAGGACACACAACAATTAAAGACAATTTTATAGGAAGAGGGATGCGAACAGCAGGAAACTAGCTCTACATATATACATGTTAAAAGTGATGGCAATGCACTTAGATATAGTATTACTAACTACAGCCACGTCCGACTCATCGACCCGCATGTTGTTTTCGAACATGTTCTTCAACAAATTGTCAAGCAAAATAGACGAACGAGTAGAAAACACAGAAGTGGATCTAGTTTACCAGCGGCTTGGGTATGTACACAAAAATTGGGTTGCAATGGAACGCATTAAAAATATTTAAACAAAAAGAGTAAATAAAATTAAAACAAAAACAAAAGCAGCTGAAATGAACAGAGCACATCTAGAAATAGTCAAGCGTATTCGAATGAAAGGTGCTTAAAAGTGCATGCGGGTTCATTTCCTGTTTGCAGTGCCCCTCCAGTCCACCGCCCCCTTGAGGTTCATTTCTGCTTTGGACTGCACTTGCGGTTTCGTAGCGTCTTTTCTGCCAGCTTGCCAGACTTCTCTCAGTCGCTGCACTTTGTTATTGTTTTTGCTTTTGCGCCGTCAACTGAAATTGACGGCAAACATGCTTAGCTGAAGTCTTCCCTCCATCCCTCGACCCCAGGCCCCGCAACAAAAACGACAACAACAACGCCATTTACTTGATGACTTTAAGGTTTTATTTTTTTGTACTATCTGTCTTTAACTTTTGCTTCTCCTCCGCTTGCACTTTTGCTGTCTTTAAACTTCAATGCTCTCTAATCTTCTATCAAAATTAGGTGACGTCTTCGGCATGTTTTGGCTTTTAGAAATAATGATTATCTACCTTTATGCTAATATTTTATCGCTAGCCTTCATTTAATTTTGTGGCTAATGCTTTCTAACGGCTTTGTTGTGTGCTAGCGGCCAAGAAAGTCAGCAATTAATAATTTTACCATGTATTTGGCTTAAGATACCGTTTAAACTTTGTCACTCAGATTTTGCAATTAAATCGCCATAAACTGTTATAATTAATAGCTGCAACTTTCGATTATTATATAACACATTATTTGACTATTACAACATTTTTTCGATGTACACAAACATTGGAGAATTGAAGACGTTGATGACAAATTATAAATAAATAATAAATATTGCCCCGGGGTCAGAAACTTTCAAACTTTTTACATTTTTTCTTGTGATTTAATTTGTTAAATTATTATTTATTTTAACCAGCTTTTTTGACTATATGGCGATAGTATTTTTAATATTTTTAAAATTAATTTCATGACATAAATAAATAAATACAAAATTTCAATTGGGCTTGATATGCTTTTTCAATACAATCTTCATAGAATATCAATAACTATGAACCCGTTCAACCACATCAAAATGTCAAAGTTCTTCAAAGTTCATGTATATAGAATGCGCTAATATTTTGTACTTTTCGACAGACGGTCTGTGATATAAACGAGATGTAAAGTTGTAATAAAAAATATATATTGATCGATCTACCTCCTTTTAGATTCGAACTTTTACACCCAGATTGTGTCCATATGTGTCAGTGATAGATGTAATTACCAAATTTGAGTAAAATATTTCCCGAATTGCGAGAGTTATTGAGAATCACTAATGACGGGGGAATGAAGTGGCGGAGAATAATTTTGTACTGCGTTGACATATAAGGCATATGTGGTGGCATTTGGTGTCTCTAGCTTATATACATAGTCTCTGAAAACATACGGACAGACAAACAAAACTGACTAAGTGGACTCGTTTTGCCATGCTGATCAAGAATATATACGCTTTGTGGCGTCTGCCACGCCTCTTACTGCCTGATACATTTTTCACTTTGCACAAACCTAATATACTCCTGTAAGTGTACATTACATTCACAGAGTATACAAATTGACTTACCTTTAGGAAATGGTCGTGTGAGTCTCGTTGAGTGTAAAATTGTGGTTGCTATTGTTCTATGAACTCAAAACACAACAGCAACAATAAACAAACACTCAAATTGGAGCAACCAATTGGTTATGTGGTTGCTATAGTCGCTGATCTTGTTAGATGCTGATCTGATCGAGTGGGAGACGAAGCGAGACGCGCCGTACTTGCTTTTGCTGGCGCTGTCCTATCCAATGGATTACAAAAGCAACGAAAATGGAAACGCGATTAGTTTTATGCGAGTTATGGAAGCAGCATCGGTTAAAGCTATCTGAAGCAGAACTTTATATTCAAATAAATACAAATGAAAAGAATACGAGGAAAAAACATGCACTCACACTTCAATACATATGTACATATATTTGTATGTTTGTATGTATACACTCAACAAGAATATGTATCTTAAAACTGGTTTACACAGCCAAGATTTGTTGGGATTGAAGTTGTTAACTTCAAGTTTACCAGTGTGTGGGTAATACTTTCAAATGATTAATTCGACTTCTTTTTAGGGTTTTCAAACACACATAAATTTATGAATAGATAATTATTAAACTTGATATTTCACCGGCTATATATTCAACATTTATCAAGTTCTTCGCGGCCTTTATTTAAGGAAATGCAATGTCGCCCGTTTTTATAAAAACAACTGTTGCGCCACTAACCGAACTGCGTATGTACAGATATGTATGTATATGTATCATTTTATTCGCCCACTAACAGTCGACAAAAAAAATTAATAATATTGTACAATTTATTTTCAATGCAGATTCACATATTATATTTAAAATTTTATTCAATACCGAGATTCTAGCGCAACCGGCATTCGAAAACACGACCGCTCTTTTTTGTTATTTGTTAGATATACAAAACGCAACGGCCGTGTGAACAGCGACGAAGCGCACCCTCGGAACATCTCACAGATACAACTCGCACAAAGAGCACACACAAAGCACAGCTACACTATCGATAGTCGGATTCAGTCGTTCGATTGAAAATGAAATCGATTGCTTACCAGCTGGTGTGGTGGACATATGAGGAACAAGTCGTGTAACCATGAGGTGAGTATGAAAAATTAACGGTTTTTAATTTACTACAATAACTTAAAAAATGCAATTTATTTCACAGCGAGGTATATCATATATATTCAAAAGTATGTATATTTTTTTTGTAATACTCAGAAAAATCTATCCGAAATGCTGTTTTTATTCATTTTTGTATACGCCGTAATCGCAAATACTTGTATTTACGCAAATATACACTCATACACGCTTACAGACGATAAGCTATGCAATATACAATTCGAGATTCCACAGAATCAGCAAGCATTTAGATGTAGATAACAAAAACAGTTTATAACTCCCATCACAAATAAACAGTAAAGTAGTGCAGCAGATTGTCTTGCAATGAACACACGTAGAGGTCTTAGTCTTTCGACACATGTACTAGATACGTCCCTAGGAACTGCAGCTGCAAATCTCAAGGTGACAGTTCATCGCTTTGATGACGAATCCCAAAAGTGGCAAGCTGTGCGTGCCAAGCAAACAGATCCTGACGGCCGCTGTAATGTTTTTGAGCAAAGCGAATTTCCCAGTGCTACCTACAAGTTAACATTCCATGTGGGCGCCTATTATGTCGGAAAAAATTTGAAAACACTATATCCAGCTATTGAGATATTAGTAGATTGCACTGACGATCAACACTATCACCTACCCCTCCTCTTAAGCCCATATGGCTATACAACATACCGTGGCTCATAATATTGTAAAACCCATTCCACAATAAATATAAATGAAATAACTTGCATAAGATATGAAGTGCTTAAACCAGAACTAAAGTTGTAACTATTCACTATTTCGATTTCTTTAATTAATTTTGTAAAATAACTTTTAAAAAAATATTTTCTGTAAAAATATATATTTTTAAAGGAATCTAAAGTCAGTTTTCATAATTATTCTAGTTTGAGTTTATTAGAAGAAAAATGTGTTCAAATGATTGTTTATCGGTATACTCTACTGGTGTTTGAATAATTAGAGGAGACATTTTAAATACTTCAAGTATTTATTGTACAATATATTCGAAATACATATACGTCTTAGTAAAAAGAAGTTGGAAGATATCGAGAAAACAACCATCGATGTTTCGCATTGATACTTATATCGATAATTGCACTGCTCTCCACTGCATCGCATTTCGACAAAAAATTTTATTTGCAAGTGGATGTATTAAAAGCTGTTCTACAATTTTATTATTAAATTCACAATAAATCATGTTGGACGGCTGGTACTGCCGTACACTTGCAAACCAGGAGGCCTCAGTCAAAATCGAACAGGAGAGCGATGAAGAAGCCCGTACCACTTCAGTGTCAGCTCCGGGTGTTATAGACTACAAGGAGCGGTACAAAAAACTTAAACAAAAACTGAAATTCCTCGTATATGTATGTTACTTAAATTTATTTAATCATCGTACTGTACTCAAAAACCAACTATCTTTTTTGAAGGAAAATGAGTACTTCCAGGATTTGATCGCCACTAACCAAAGAAGGCTGCTTAAGGTTTCGCGCGACCGCGCCTTTCTTTTGGATCGTCTGCTGCTGTACGAGAAGCCAGCGAAGGACTCCAGTGATAGTGACGCAACTGACAGTTCTGATGATGCAGAATCGGTGGCGCCAACTTCTTCTGCAACAGTGGCATCAACCTCATCAGCAGCTGGGAATTTGGGTAACCAATCACAGCCGCAAATCGTTATGGGATCATCAAAGGAAATTGTGCGAAAACGAAAAGCTGAAAGCAAAGGATGTCCACCAATGTCGACTTCAGTTGTGGGAGGTGCGACTCGTGGACGCAAGCGTAAAATAAACTCACTGGCAATAAGCAGTCAACATTCGGTGGTGGTGAAAAAGCCGCCCGTGATGGCAACAGTGTCGCCATCGCTTCAACAACCACCTACTAAAGACGAGCCCCTTAGCACAGCCGAAATAACGCGGCAATTGCAGGAACGTCGCCCTACGCCTATCGAGCTTATGAGTCCTGAGTGCGCCTCTGCAACTGTGCCGGCAACAATGCTCAGCGATGACAGCCCATCGAAATGGTAATACTTCCACTAGTTCTGAAAATAGGCATTAAAAATGGCTTTTTCACTTCTTTTTAGCTATCCTAATGAAAGCTTGCAGCAGCTGATGGAGGATGACTCGCCCACACATGTGGCCGCCGAGGAATGCGTGGCGATGGAATATACTACTTAAATTACATGCTACTCTTCCCAAATAATCATACACTTATATAACGTACAATGTTATCTTTTAATCATTTCCCAATTAACTGAATTAAAACAACATTTTCACCACGCACAAGAAGTTGAGGTAGCTCGCGCCGTAGCTCCACATTCTTACGGTTGAGACTCTTTACTTGGACACTGGGCAGTGTCACGCCCAATTGATTCAATCGTGCACTACAGTCTTCTTGAGAGCCGCAAATGTTTTGCTTGCCATATTTGAACTTTCGCCTTTTCCATATTTCAACGGCATTATTCATCAGAACGTTCCACTGTTTATCAAAAGCAATTAGTTCGCCCTCAATGCTGCCAGATATGCTATGCTCCTTCCGCACCACAATGCGAACACGCTGACGTTCTGTTTCTGCCACCGCGGGGAGGCACTGCCGCAGGGCAGCTAATGGACCCTCCGTGCCTGCCATGTGAGTGTAGAGATTGCGGTAATTTTTCTTTTTAGCTGTGACGTGTATAGCCATTTGATGTGGTTCAAAACGTCGCTCTGGCACGGCTTGCTCTAATGTGGAGGACGTAGAAGTGGTTCCAGTGGCCCCAGGGCCTCTTTTTTGTTGCTTGTTCAGCTCCCATATACCAAATTTTTTAAGGGCGCTTTCAAAAGCGGCGACGTTCTGATAGAAAACCTTCGGTGTCTTCTCAGTTATTTTATAGTCGCGGTCGTAAAGAGCGCGCAGTGGATTGAAGCGGTCACTGCCCACATCCAATTCCTGGTCCGTGGTAGGAGTTTCTTCCGTGCCACCACCATCTTGAATTTCATCAGTGCTCATTATATTTATTTACTCCAACACAGAATTTTACCGGCTTTATGTCGTGCGCCATTCTTAAGCTATCCGATTAAGTTATCGATACCTTATTCTTTTTCGAAATGACGAAATCGTAAACTTAAGGTTTGTTAATGAAGAAACTTAAAAAATGTATTTTTTGCAAATCACCAGCTGAGAAACTGCTAAAAAAAATATATAGAAATATACAAAGAACTATGAATAAACGTTTTAAGCGCCAGCCCTCTTGTCCGCGGCTTCAAATTACGGACTTGCCTTACTATTATTATTATCAGTAAAGCTAAAATCCCCAATCCCGAGGCGATCATAAATCCCATCTTGCCCGATTACATTTTCCACTTGAAGGAGGTCTTTTTAGGTCTTTAGGTCTTTATTGCTTACAAATTAATTTGTTAAATGAAAATAAATTGTACAAGTTACGTTAGATTAAAAAACGGTGTGGATTGAATACGCACAAAACCTTCAAGCTCTAACGTAGACACGTATAAAATCTTATTATAGGCAAATAATGTATTGCGTCTCTATCTCTATTATTTGTAAGCTATCAGCTTCTGCCCGCCATTAAGTTTCTTATCAAGTCGACATTTTATGAATCTATCACAATTTTAGATGCTCACGCTAATCTCACAAGAACTCAGTGTGATCCCGTCACTTGAAGAAGATTGCAGCAAATTACTAAAAAAAACTTTTAATTTTTCAATAATATAATACATAAAAACATGTCTTTAGTGTGCGTAGAAGACTTCGAACAAAATGCGAAAACCAAGCTGGAAAAAAATGCCCTGGACTACTATAAAAGTGGAGCTGGAGAACAATATTCATTGAAACTGAACCGTGATGCATTTAAACGGTTGAGACTGCGTCCACGTTGCCTACGTGATGTCTCCCAAATTAATATCAGTTGTGAAATATTTGGACACAAATTGCAGTGGCCATTGGGTATCGCACCTACGGCCATGCAAAAGATGGCTCATCCAGATGGGGAGGGCGGCAATGCTAGAGCTGCTGGTAAAGCGGGATCAATATTCATTTTGAGCACTCTTTCAACAACATCGCTGGAGGATTTGGCAGCTGCAGCGCCTGATACAATCAAATGGTTTCAGCTCTATATCTACAAGGATCGGTGGGCTCAGAAAATGTTAAGTACACACGAATTTAATTCACACTTTCCTTTTACAGGTCGCTTACAGAAAGCCTGGTACGAAGAGCAGAGAAGGCTAACTTTAAGGCACTCGTACTTACTATAGATGCACCTATTTTTGGGCACAGAAGAGCTGATGTGCGCAATAATTTCAGCTTACCATCACATCTCTCCTTAGCAAACTTTCAAGACGAAAAAGCCAATGGTGTGATTACAATGAAAGGCGCCTCAGGCATTAACGAATATGTCTCCAGTCAATTTGATCCTACATTGTCATGGAAGGACATAAAATGGCTAAAGGAAATCACCAAATTGCCAATTGTGGTGAAAGGCGTTCTAACGGCCGAAGACGCAATATTAGCCCGCGAATTCGGCTGCCATGGCGTAATTGTATCAAACCATGGTGCCCGGCAGATCGACACCGTGCCAGCAAGCATTGAAGCCTTGCCGGAAGTTGTTAAGGCTGTTGGCAACGATTTGGTAGTTATGATGGATGGTGGAATTTTGGAGGGCAATGATATTTTTAAGGCGCTCGCTTTAGGCGCTAAAGCTGTTTTTGTTGGGCGCCCGGCTGTTTGGGCCCTTGCCTATAATGGTCAGCGCGGTGTTGAAGAAATGCTACATGTTTTACGAAAGGATTTCGAAATCACAATGGCATTAATTGGCTGCCAGGCACTAAAAGACATTCAACCATCTATGGTAGCCCACGAATCAACGTACTCTAAAATTTAAACTGCAGCGCGAGGGATACAATTTGAATTAAGAAAAACATATGCATTTCAAATTTACTTTTGCATTATCTTCTCTTATTTCAGACAATAATAATTTCACTCTTGCTTGAGCGGCTAGCAATTGATAAATAAATCATTATATGGATAACCTATTGATACTTTATGCTGATAGTTTTATTAAAATATATTCAACAACGAAAAATGATAACGTACATAAATATGTACATATAGTATATTCGATATTTTTCGGCATACTGCGGTATTTTAGCCATTCTCAATATAAAACTATCGATATCATCAACATTGTAAGCGACTGTGAAATCTACTAGAACACAGCACGTGCAATTTGGTAAATTGATCAGATTTAAAAGTACAAGTAGTATTAACTTACGCAGAAATGGCCGAGGTTGACGATGGTCCACCAGAAGCAAGCATAGACTTCGTGCCTGCAATATGCTTCGTACCACGCGGTGTAACAAAAGAACGACCGGACAAGATTGTGTTAACTAAAGACGAATTGGCTCGTGTAATTGAAGATACTAAGGACTTGCTGGAGGACGACGATGATAACGAAGATGAGGAAAATGACGATCAGGAAACAATGGAAGTTGACAACAGTGAAAATCAAAATCCGGACGATGAATTTAACTTCAACAACTACGACAATGAACCCAACGCCAGAGTTACAAATATTGGCAACGTTGTGGAAGCCGACGAGCAGATACCTGACGAAGATGAGGACTCTGAGGCGGAGGACGAGGTGATAAAGCCCACCGACAATCTGGTGCTTGTTGGTCATGTACAGGATGACGCGGCTTCTATGGAGGTTTGGGTTTTCAACCAGCTCGAGGAGGCGTTGTATACCCACCACGACTTTCTCTTACCCAGTTTTCCGCTTTGCATTGAATGGCTAAACCACGATGCCGGTAGTGACAAGCCAGGCAACATGTGCGCAATCGGTTGCATGGACCCAATCATTACTATTTGGGACCTAGACATACAGGACTCTATTGAACCAACATTTAAACTAGGCTCCAAAGGAAGTCGTAAACAAAATAAGCCGCAGTACGGTCACAAAGATGCTGTACTAGATCTGTCATGGAACCGCCACTTTGAACACATACTGGCCAGTGGCTCCGTTGATCAAACGCTTATTCTATGGGACATGGATGAGGGACAGCCGCATACCACCATCACCGCCTTCGGTGAGAAAGTTCAATCGCTCGAATTTCATCCGGATGAAGCGCAAAGTATACTCACCGGCTGTGCTGATGGGTACGTGCGTCTGTTTGACTGTCGCGATGCCGAAAACGTAGACTCCACATGTATTAAGTGGCAGGTCAGCGGCGAGGTGGAAAAGGTTCTTTGGCATCCCACACAAACTGACTACTTTATCATTGGTACTAACGATGGCAGCTTGCACTATGCTGACAGACGCGCTCCCAACCGACTGCTGTGGTCTGTTAAGGCGCATGGCGAAGAAATATCTGGTATATGCTTCAACAACGAAATGCCTAATTTGCTTACCTCCACCTCTACGGAAGGGACATTGAAAATCTGGAATTTTAGCACATCCGAGGCAAAATACGTATATGAGCACAACTTTAACATGGGCCGTTTACAGTGCATGCGGCAGTGTCCGGAGGATCCGTATACACTAGCCTTTGGTGGAGAAAAACCTCCGCGATGCTCAGTCTTTAATATCAAGAACTTTGAAGCGGTGCGTACAGTCTTCGGCATTGCCGATACAGAATAACATACTTAGTTTTAGATAATGTATTTTATATTCAATGTACATTTTAATAAATGCATATTTTGTAAATATATACTCAGAAAATTATTACTCAGCAATAGTCGAAGACCCTTGCAATTGAATAACATAAACTGTTTATGGTTAAGTTACTATTTACACATAAAAATAAATTTTCTGGACAATGTATAAAATATGACGGGGAAACTCTGATATCTTCCATTCATATTTCAACTCCAAAAAGAATTAGACGATTCCAAGCAACAAATATCTAAGAATTTAGTCGTATACAATTAATCAAATTTATTCATTTAAAAAAATACTTATTCATTATTATAAATCCTCAAAAATGATGAGTTCTACGCTTTTTCAAACTTAAAAACGATGGATTTATTCAGTCCTTGTCAAATCAAGTTCTAAAATATTAAAAGTTTAATTTAAATATTTTTCTGCAGACGACCAACTGGAACTATACACACGCCCAGTAATTTGGGCAGCTTGTTATAAAATCTTATATATTTATCATAAACTACATATTAAACATAAACTATAAATTAGTTCTTAAAGAGACCCACACACATCAACAAGTTACGCCGCGTGAAGTGCAGCGCCACAAAAGGAGAATTCTTGCTGGGGAACGTCCGCAGTAAATACACATCCTCGTCGTTTTCGTCGTGATGATGGGACACTGTTATCTGATTGCTCAGGTAATCTTCAGTAACTTTGTGAAAATCCCAAAGAGTGAGGTTGCAGTCCAGCCCACCGGCAGCAAGTATTGTGCCATCGCGACTGAAGGTAATGGTGGACACCATGCTTGTGTGGCGTAAAAGTGTGGTAACTAGCGAGCCATTGGATAGGTCCCAAATGATAATGTTATGATCGACTGAGCCGGATGCTAAATAACGACCACAGGCGGAGAAGGCCAGTGACGTAACGGTGCCTTTATGACCCGTCATGAGTCGCACGGATTGTCCAGTCAACACGTCCCAGAGGCGTACCGTACGATCACTTGAGCCACTTGCTACATAGTTGGAGTTCGGGTGAAATTGCACGCAATCCACATCGGACAGGTGTCCGACGAAGATCCGCAGAGCTTGATTTGAGTCGGTGGACCAGAGGCGCGCAGTTTTGTCATATGAGCAAGAGACAAAATAGTACCCATGCGGAGCGAAGCGCACATCCCAAACGGGGTAGACATGTCCACGATAAGCTACGACGCAAGACCAGGTGAGTAGCGACCACAATCGGATGGTGCCGTCCTCCGAGCAAGAGAGCAACAAATTCATTTCGGGCGCAAAAGCGCAACGATAAACAGGTCCTGTATGGCCCAGAAAACTGCGCGTCGATTCCCCACTACGATCGTCCAGCATACGTACATTTATGTCGGAAGATTCTTTATCCAACTCGCGTAAGGCGTCCGCGTCTTTTAGTGCACGGAGTTTTGCTGGCGTTAATGACCAAATGCGGACACTAGAATCACTGAAGCCACAGGCCAACATCGTAGAGTCATCTGAGATTTCGGCGCAAGTCACGCCTTGTACGGAATTCAGAACTGTGTAAAACACTGCAGACGGCAACTGATCCTTATTGAGCGGCAAACGCTTGCTAGCTTCACGCAACGCTTTTAACTTGAGCAGCTTGTCGGAATCTTTTAGCTCCGGTAAAGGTATGCGGTCGATTGCTGGCGCATTTGGATCCGATTTGGATTTTTTTGAGAGCAGTGGGTCTTTTTTGGGTTTCTTTTTCTTTGGACGATCTGGTGCATCTGGATCGTCTTCCTCCTCCTCTGGTGCCGGCGCTGGCGTTGTGAGTGTCTGGAAGTCCACCTCTTTCAGAAGTCCGTAGTAGACGCGCATTTTATTATCCTGGCGTTTGGCCTCGCCAATATGTGAGCCAGCCGTGGCCACACATTGCAGCTTGTTGCGTGCCATGCCCTCATATGTATCAAAGTGTAGATATTTTGATACAATATCTGCCACAACTTCTTGCCTGCGGTCTTGAATATGACGCTTAAACAACGAATGCGCATCGCGTGACATGCGAATAACGAATTTGTCGGTCTCCATGGCAGTAACGAAGTCATCATCCAACAGCTCCTCCGGCTTCGACAGCATCAACAAATTGAATAAGCTTTCGGTGTAGTAGCCGTCCAGGTCAGACTTGTATTTCTCAATAAAGGAGCGCGCCTTATCAGTTAGACCACTGGCAAGCATCTTGAAATAAATTTGCACCAGAATGGGATATAGCACCATGGAAAGTTCGTGCTTGTAAATGTCCAAAGCCTCTTCAACAAAGGTGCGTAACTCCTCGTAGGCTTGTTCGTACTGCTGGGCATCAAAGGCGTCATCTCCAATGAACTTTGCTAGCGCTTCAGCTGCATTAAGGGAATTCTTGGCTTCTGCTGCTGTCTTTGTTTCCACCGAAGTCTGGGAGCGTTCGCCGGCTCCCACGCCTAATGCGGCACTCAGCACTTGCTGGACATCGTTGTCAGTGAGCTCTTCCAAATCAGCGGCGCTTACATTGGCCTCTTGACAAAGCAGCTCCTCTGTACTTTTTAGCTGATGCTTCTTTAAAAGCTTTAGTAAACAGAGTAGCTCGCGCTTGTCAAGCGGTTGATTATCGTTTGCACCATTAATATTAACCCCTTCCATGCTAACTTTGTGCGATTAAATTCACCGAAATCCCACAGAAGCGCAAAATATTTTCGACTCTTCTTTTTTACAGCGCCATTCAGAGGGAACGCAGAGTAACAAGTCTTTTCCCGATACACAATACATCGATAACAATACGATACCATCATTAGACTATTACTGTGCAGAAGAGTGCATTATAAAAGTGCATTAGGAATGTGCACAAAAACCTTGCAGAGAAGGAAATAGAAATAAATTATAATCAAATGATAATCATTGTAATCGGATAATATGTAAACTTACGAAAAAGAAGAGCCCGAATTCATTAGTGGAAAAAAACACTACTCCAAAGGGTTAGTGGCACCGAGGGTGAGGGCAAGTGTGAGTCAGTGCTGCTGCGATCAGTACATTGACAAGCACAATCATAAATACGTATTAATGACACACGTACATATTTATATTAACAACCGACGTCTTGGAGCCGACCACAATATTAACAAAGTATAAACGGCGCCACTGTGTTCGTAAAATTAACAACAAGAGCGAGTGTGCAAAAGCCAATAAGCGTTTGCAAACAAAACTGTGACCGACTTCTGGACCCACACAATGTTGCTGTATAGTGTCATAGCTCGCGGCACCACGGTGCTTGCAAAATACGCCGAATGTGTTGGAAATTTTGCAGAAGTTACAGAGCAAATAATTAACCGGATTGATCTGCAACAAAACCACAAGACTACAATAACGCACGGAGAATATCTGATACACTACTCATGCGACAACAAAATCATCTATATGTGCATTACCGACAATGTAAGTAACCGCACCATGACATATGGGGCTATTTAATTTACATGTTTCTATGCATAGGAATTTGATCGTTCACGGGCTTTTCTGTTTCTCACGGACATTAAACAGAAATTCATCCAAACCTATGGCTTGCAGGTATGTCATAAACGAAAAATGTTTCAAGAGTAAAAGTATGTATCAAAAAATAATTTTGAATTTCAGGTCGCCACAGCAATTGCCTATGCAATGAATACAGAGTTCTCTAAGGTTATCTCAGAGCGTATGGTTTATTATAGCCGATCCCCTGAAGTTGACAAAATAACAATCGTTCATGGCGAAATAGCCGAAATAAAAGATATTATGATTAAAAATATTGGTGAGTAGAAAGTCGTCGAACATTACAACCTCTTCAGTTTTAATGCTTAACTGATAAACTTTAGACAGCATACGCGATCGTGGCGAGAAATTAGAGCTACTTGTGAATAAAACAGAAAACCTAAGCAATAATGTAAGTAAATTATCGCAAACAAATGTAAACATAAACAAACAAACAAATACAACAATTTTTTCCACCAGTCGGTTGCATTCCGCAAAGCATCACGTAATCTGGCGCGTCAAATGTTTTGGAAGAATATTCGTGTCTATGTGGTCGCAGGCTTGGTGATTATTTTTATCATCTATGTGATTGTAAGCATGGCCTGTGGCGGACTTGCATGGCAATCGTGCGTCAACTAAGTCGCCAACGACTTATTGTGTTGTCTTAAACCGATTGCGAATGCCTATGTATGTATATTTACATATAAAACTATGTATTCTCACTCTATGTGCATAATCTATGTTGTAACACTATTTGTTCTGCATACATGTAATAATCATGAATATATATATAAACGCATATTTATACAAAAATACATTGCGTTCAAAGTTGTTAATCAGTACATTTTTTATTTGCAACAAAGCTGAAAATTCACTTGCTCTCAACATAGATGATATCGTTAACTTTGATATTACCCGGTACCCGCAAACCCAGATGGCTTCCAAGTGCCGGTGATGCATAGTTAAACAGGCGATAGCTACAACATAAAAAGATGGGATTAAATTGACAATTATTGTCGTATTTACATTACCTGCGCAAAGTTTTCAGAGGCTCGCCATCAACATCTCGTTCGGCTGTGTGGACATTTATGTTCGGTAATATGCAGCGCGTACAAGGTGCGACAACACGAAACACAACATCGCCAATGCGCACCCACTGCCAGTTATCCTCAGCGTACGGCTCGTCATTGTCCATTTTCAATTCAAAGTTTCCCCGGAATTGTAGCGGTGAAACAGGACGTTTCAGTCGCTTATTTAGATCAGCGATAGACGAAAGATTCATGATCATATAACTAGTTGCATCACCGAAGGTACCCTAAATTAAAAAAATCAGCATATAATCGGTTCATAACCAGATAATACAGTCAGTGCCTCACTGAATCTTCCTGCTTGATGTACGGTTGATCCTTCAGTCGTGGATTGGTTGCCCGCACCGGGCTAGGGTAGGGATAATACACCAATTTCAGGCCGGTATCCTGCCCCAGTATGAATTGAGAGAACCACTTATCAAATCGTGCTCCACACAACATGGCATCCAACTTGACGCCCCACACGGCAGTGTGAACATCCTGCCCTGGCGATTCACTCGCCAGCGTCTCGAAGTTTAGTTCGAGATCTGGAGTGCCAGGCGCCTTAAACACCAGACCAGTGCTTGACAGCACTTGGGGTTGTATGAGCAGCATTTTCGGATATCCACGAGCTGTTATCATTTCGTTGTTATCATTAACTAACATTAGAGCACGATCACGAATTCCTTGAAGGGTCAAACCAAGCAAATCGCACGACAACACGTCGCCGTCTTTTAGTTTAAGCGGAGCACACGACTTGACCGGAAAGAGGTTTATCTCTTCCAGAATGCCCACTCGACGCCATTTTTCTGGAACGACATCACGCTTAAGGCGATGATAGATCAAATAGCTCGCACCTCCCGCGACGACAAGTCCAACGCCCACACCGAGTAGCACTTTTCCGCTGAACCATCCGGACCCACTATCGGCTGGTTATTTTTGTAATTAAATAAACTTTAAGTTTAATTAACTCTTGAACCCCGAAACTACTTACGTGCATATGTAGTTATCATCTTGTTTTCTTGCGAGTACTGCTGCGCACTTGTTGCTTTCTCCAATTAAAAAAGCTTTCTTGGGCGTTCGCCTTCTTTACTGCACCAAAGCTCAACATCTGAAGAAAACGTAGACTGCGATTAATCACAGCTACATCTCTTTTTCCCTTGTCTACGTTTTTATTGATTTTGTAAACAAGTTTTTTTAAGGCAACTGTTGCCGACGATGAAAAGCACCAATTGGAACCGGGCACCGAAAGCTCGCTTGTTATAGTAACAATTTTGTGATAAGCACAGAAATTTGCTACTTACAGTAAATACACCAAAGCTTAAACACGTAAATACGTACTATACTTTTATTACCATAAACGGTCTTTACTTGATACACTGCAACACGTTGGTTGTTAAATGTGATTAAGTTATTAACTTAATTGCTCAAAAAGATTAAAACTCAATTAAACTCCTTTATTAAAAATAGTTTAGGCGTATTTTCTAACATTTTTCGTCTGTAATTATTAAAAGAATAATGTCACAAATGTTGGCACATTTATTTAAATTTTATTTACACCAAGCTTTCAAAGAGCAATACAATAGTTATAAAAATTGTATTATTTATTCCTGTTAGGATTTAATTTTACTTTAAATAAATCATAACTGAAATAGGAGACAAAACTCCCATATTAAAAAGCATCTAAAAGTTACACATGTTAGATGCCCATTGATGGATACACTACTGATTGAATTTCCACTGGTCTTTTTTTTTAATAATATTTCTGTGATTCTCCTTTTCCATATGAACTCATATACGTTAATCAACCTTTGTGTCCGTCCTCGCTTCGATAGCTTAAAATTAAATTATTCTGCTCAGTATAGGTAAGGCAACTTAGCTATAGTCTTAAGACAATTTAGAGAACGTTGACAAACTATTAAAAAATTAGACAGTATATCATAACTCAAAAAAGTTTTTGGTACGAAGATGTTATAAAAAACCTTAAAAAAATTTGATTAAAATAACTTCATAAACCAAAAATTTCTTAAGGAAGCTTTATAAAATAATAAGAATAAATTAGAAAAGTCTTCATAATAGGTTTCGCGTTTCAAGTTGTTGCGGTTCAAAAGTTCTTCATACGAACAGGCATACATATGTATACTTGTATGGCGATTTTTCTTGACATGGTGATCAGAAAATATTTAGTATGCAGCATAACATGGGGTAACATTTGGACTGCTCAGTATACTATCGATTGGATCCTTCAAAGAACACTCCAATTGCTTAGTTCAAGTTAACGCGTGTCCACTGTGTAAACTTCTTTTGAAAATAAACTCATACTATAGCACGGCCTTAGTAGAGAACATTATCAGAGAACAACATGAAGTCGGGAGTGGTGGTCGCAGCAGTTTTGGTGAGTGGTTCGCTGGTAACTTGGCTTTGTCTGGGTATGGTCAAGCGACGCCGACGAAAGCAAGAACTTGATGAGTCCCTTAGCGTTGATTGGCACCGTATAGGCGTGGTAAAGAGCTTGACCATATATCCGCTTAAATCTGGAGGTCCAATGCCGCTTGATCTGGCTCACATTGACTGCTATGGGCTGCGCTCAGTTGAAGGCTTACGCGATAGGTGCCTTGTAGTGTTCAACACCGATCAGAAACTCATTTGGGCGGGGATTTATCCACACATGTTGAGCATAGAGACCCAGCATTTGGATGGACAACGACTTCTCTTGACGGCGCCTAATACCACATCGTTAATCGTAAACATTAGCCTTATTATGTCCGATGAGAACGAGTATGAAAGGGAATGGCAAGGTTTCCGATTGAAAGCCTGCGGCGAGGCGCATGATCGTTAGATTTCACAGGTTCTGCAACAGCAAGAATCTGGCTTGCATTTATATTTTGCTTATAATTCTCCGAGCAACAGTCTCCGCCGAATCAAAAGGGAATTTGAGCCCGTCATGGTGTTGCATGACAAATCTGTGGCTGATTTAAACTCTCGTCTGAAGCTAGAGGATCATGCTGATGAGCTGCAATTTCGAGCGAACTTTGTAGTGGCCAGCGATGATAATATCGCAGCATTCGATGAAGACGACTGGCTTTGGATGCGAGTGGGAGAGCGTACCATCCTGAAATACACCGCACCCTGCCTGCGCTGCATTTTGCCGAACATCAACCCGGTGACATGCAAACGAAATCCCAACTTCGAGCCGTTACGGACATTGAAAAGGTAAGCAAAAACCAAAACTGTAGTACAGACATCTAAAAAAAAGCAGAAACTGGTTCTCTATTGCAGCTATCGCTTGCGCCAAGACCCCAAAGAGCCAGAAATGGGAGTCTATTTTAATGTTCAGCAGATGGGTCCAATACGTGTTGGCGATGCTATTTATGTGCAATATAAAAATGGAGTGGAAAGTAGTTTTTAAAAACAAACTTTATTAAATTAGGCAATTAACTACGTAGAATTTCAAACAATCCAGTAATCTTGGTATTGCCAGGCTAAACACTGTATGATGCTTTCAGTTTATTAAAATAGTCCAGATCGCCTTTGCTAATTGACGGAACAAATTTGCTGAAAGACTTTAAAAAGTCCTCTTCTTCAACGATCACATTTTCGGCCAGCATGTCCTTGTCGCCAAGCTTGCCACTCAAATGCAAGTCTATGGTGCGTCTGACAGCAGCTAGCCAAGCATTCGAACATATTGAATATAAATCGGCACCCGACATTTCGCTCTTCAAACGATCGGCAATCTCCAATATATTCACATTGGCTGCCAGATTAAAACGTTGTGTTTGGGCTCGTAAAACGGCTGCCTTATCGTCGGGTGTGGAGTAAGGACCCACATAGAAAAGTTTGTCAAAACGACCAGGCCGTAGCAAAGCAGGATCAATTAAATCCGGTCGATTTGTAGCGGCCAATATGAAAATTAGCTTGCTGGCATCACCCATGCCATCCATTTCGGCAAGCAGCTGCGACACCACACGATCCATTACGCCCCCCGAATCGCCCGCCACACCGCGATTTGGTGCTAGCGAATCCAGTTCATCGAGGAAGAGGACACACGGTGCTGCGGAGCGTGCACGAGAGAACACTTCACGGACGTTCTGCTCACTCTGGCCCACATACATGTTGAGCAGTTCTGGTCCCTGTACGGAGAGGAAGCTCAGATTGCATTCGGTAGCAACAGCTTTCGCAACCAGTGTTTTGCCTGTGCCAGGAGGGCCGTAGAGTAAAATGCCAGAACGTCGGAGGTTCTTGCCCATTAGATGCATATGCTTTAGGGGAAGGCCAATACTACTTTGTATTTCATCCTTAAGCTTCGCCAAGCCACCAATATCCGACCAGTAAACTTTAGGCACCTTCGGTGCGCCCAAGCTGTCGGCAAATGAGCTTTGCATGTCTGTCAGGTTCTTGCTGAAATGGATCAGCGATAATGTGGACGACCCTAGTCGTTGACGGACTTTCAAACGCACCGCATTGTCATAAAGCAGCTGCAAATCGCCCAATAGAAAACCCTGTGACTTAGATGCCACTTCAGACAGCAGTCTTTTTGTTTCATACCAGTTTCGACAGATCTTGGGCAGATGTAGTTCGTGCATGTCCAGCGAAAAGAGCGGCACTTGTTCAATTGCTTTTTTGTTATAAATGAAGTCATTAAAAGACTCGCGTATGTGCATCCATTTCAGCATATTGTAGCGTTCCTCTTTGGACGGAATATCGACGTTTATTATCTCAAGAAAGATACGCTGAATCATGGGCTTCAGATGCTTATCGCTGGTTAATGCCACCACAACGACGGGATGTTTGCGATCATGGGAAAAAAGCTCCTGAACCTGAACATGAAAGGCGGACAGTAAACGTAAGTCCTCGTTGCCTTCATTATCGATGCCGAAAATCTGAAAACATTAAGCTAGTAAGTTAAAATTCCTGGATGTCAGTGTTGATGCTTACCTCAAAATTGTGAAAACATATTAATAATGGTTCGCTGACTAGGCTTTTGGCGAAAACCGCCTTCAGTTTCATCTCAGTATGTGAGGGCACCTGAGAGACAATTTCGGTGCAATCAGCGCCATAAATGTGCATTCCCAGCTCCTGAGCCACAGCATTTATTAGTTTAGTCTTTCCAGCGCCCCGCTCGCCCTGCAGCAAAAATACTGGAAAGATATGTTTTGATGACAAACATGCGGACTTCTTTGGCAAAAATGCATCCACTGAGGCACGTAACAATTGATATGGCTTCCTCAATCCAATCGGAAAGTTCTCCACTATGGAAAAGTTGTCCAATATCTGTCGTGGCAGAAAATTGTGCGAGTGTGGCACCTGGATAAGGTTCGTAAAATTCTTTGCCACGATCGCCTGCAATTCGAAATCACTGCCCTTGACCTCTAAATGTATACAGCGGAAGTAAACCTGATGCAAATAGGCGAATATAAGATAGTAATGTGCATAGGCAGCAGTGCCCAAAAGCTGAGCATTGACCTCAATGCGATATGTGTGTCCACGATGTAACAGACGAGGCGTATTGAAATAGCTATTTAGCAACAGCTCGACAACTTCAGCTGGCAGTTCGTGGGGATTGTTCAGCAAATAAACATGCGCTTTGCTAGCGATGTTTGGTATTGTTTGCTCATCCTTGAAGTGTTCAAGCTGAACCCAACAATCAGCAGCTTTTCTGTTGCTTTTGGTTGCACTGAATCTGTCCAGAAAATTTGAAAAGAAATTTTCCTAGAAATAAATTCTCTTATTAGAAAATGCCTAAAGAATGCGTGAATAATAAAAAGAATACATACCTTCACAAAGAGACAATTGCTTTGGCACTGAGCTGCTGGCAATATCTGCATGACTACAGTCTGAGGTAGATCCTGCATAATTTGCTTTATAACAGATTCAGATGCAGAAAGGGAGGAGTCCGTCCCAGCATTTGTCAGATTGCCATTTGCAACCATATTAACGAAATTAACATCGTTTGAATCGGCAAAAGTATCGTACACCTCCTTGCTGGTAAAAATCACATGCTCTGATTTTATTAATTCATTCTTGATGAGCAGTTCATAGAGCTCATTTGGTAAAGGAACCAATCGATATTTGCCCTTGAAATGTTTCGCATAGCGCCAATAAAGAGCGTATGTTAAGTACCCTGGATAAAAATACCATGGCCATTTTGGTTGAAGCAGCTGCAACACTATATTATATGCGCCTACAAGATCTTGTATGCGACCTGTGAAGTTATATTTTGGCCCGTTTCCGATGCCATTGTCAACAGATCGCTTGGCAACGACTTTTTTCTGAGAAGAAAGTGCATACATGTAGATATAATTGGGCTTGTGTAGATAACTTTAAATTCTTAACCCACCTCAAGAACATCAATCATTGTTCACACAAACAAGGACAATACATATGTATGTACATATATTCTATGTATAAAAACTTGCACTAATATTACACATGCAGAGGCAAAGTTCAATTGGTTGTCAAAAAGAAATGGAGTGGTCACAAAATTACGCTGAAATTGATAAAACGTTTTAATTGGGTATCGCCAGTAAACAAGTTAGTGTTGTTATTATTACGAAATTAACGTACATATTATGTTTTGGATGTATGTATATATTTACATATAAAAATTTTCATATGTACAATTGATCATACTCTATAGATTACGCCTGTTTAAATTACCTTCCTAGCAATCACTCTCCTTTTCATTTGCATGCAGCTGCCTGAAATATCAGATAATTCTTCAAGTATATTTGTATCGTATTTAGTTTTAACCTTTTTTGGATAAATTACAAGCAAGAACTATCATATGTTCATGCTTATCAAAAACATATGTGATAGCATTCTTAAAGATTTTGCAACACTGGTATTAGTACACAGATTTTAAATACAAAGCTATGTACATACATAGATTATTATGAGTACTTTAGAAGACATGTATTTATTACAGGAAAAAGCCTAAAATGTCTGTTTTTGAGAGATAGATATTTTAAACTATTTAAACAGCCAATATTCAACGTTAATTATACGTTTCATGCCGAAAGCTTTTTGGCGCTTAAATCAAATTATTTCTATTTTAGACTTCCCATACACAAGTGAAGTTCGTATATGGACCGCTTCATAAGACCATTTGATATAGGAATACTCTTTTGTGTATAATAAAAACATCTCAAATTATTCATAGTAGGATATCAAAGTTCTTAAGCTTGTTCCGGAGTATTTGCTATGCTACGAATAAGGTTAACTAGCTTTAAAGAAACGGGACCGTATGGTTCTTACGTTTCGATTTATTATCCTGTATTGAATAGGTAAACGAAATTCGAACGAATGTACTGGTATGCATTATTTATCAGTATGTCAAGATAAATCAACATAGCAATGTAGGTCTGCCCGCGTATTAGGGTATTTAGCACGTCGGCGACCACGTCTCCACATTTTTTGTTCATATTGTGTTCAACATTTCAGTAACAGTTGTCAGTCAGTAGCTTGCCTTTGCTGTGAGCAGCAGTTTTGTTGAAATTGTGGTCTTTGGGAAACGTTTGTTCGAGTAATCTGTGATTCCACTAAATACATACATACTTATGTACATATGTATGTAAGTATATTCTTTTAAATTTGAGAAATTAAAGAGAAATAATACGTTGTGTGCAAGTGGCAAATCTTACATTATTTTTTACGGAAACGCTAAAGGAGGAATTCGGAAATATAAAAATATACTCGAAACAATTTCAACGCTCAATTTTCGCTTTTCCCAGTAGCCGCTGTGTATAAATTTTTATGCGTACATATAATATACATACATATGTATATGTATATATATTTGTACTGGATCTGTAGATCCCCGTTAAGCTGGGGCATACAATATACATATGTATATTTTATATAAAAATATATATTTTTTAACATATAACCATAATCTATTTTTTAGGTGCTAGGTCAAATCAACCTTGTCTGGCAACGTTGGCAAAATTCACTGAAATGGAAGATTCGACTATGATAAAGTCAGAGCTCGGGCGGACAAGTGATAAGAAACGTTCTTTAAAAATGTGGGGGGATTATATCGGTGAGTGAATACGATATAATCATGCCTACATAAGTACGTATGTAAATAAACACAAATTCTCGGAAATTAACGTGACCGCGCTTTTCTTTGAAGACAATAGTTTGCGCGTTTTATCTGTTGCTATATTAGCTAATAGCTTTGAGCGTCTGTTTTGCGTGTTGCGGGAACTTGGATTGAAGCACAATTTACCGGAAGAACGATATGCAATTTTTCGGCGAGGCTTTACATACAAGAACAGTTCCTTGTGGCTGATGACGACTGTACTGGCTATGGTTCTGGTCCGATTTGGCTTGACTAGGCAACTGGCACTACCCTCAGCAAAATTGTTGGCATATATGCCGCTCTATTGGATATTTAATGCGGCGGAAATGGGGCGCAGCACTTTGAGCTATGCTCACTGGATTCGTGAGCCGCATGGTCTGGATTGCGCATCCGGTTTGGCGTCTAATTACTTTCATGGTTACCTTAATCTGGCACTGCCCGCCCGAAACGGTAACGAAGGCCTTCGGAAACGCATAGAAAACTATGAGAACGACAAAAATGTAACATTTGGAATACAACGATTGGTAATACTCATCCCGGATGAGATGTTTGTTAACAGCGTTATAAAAAGTGATTTTCTGGAAGAGGCGAGCGTATGTTTATAATATTTTATGTTAATGTCCTGTAAACGAACGCTTTTTGTTTTATTTTCAGCCGCTGGAGACGGTATACATAAATCGGGCTGGAGTGAATCGTCCCTTCAAACATGCAGTCTACCGGCTAAAGCACAAAACAAACGGAAAATTCTACTATTTTGCAGTAGAGGGCGCAACACCAATGCTATCTTTCTTTGAATCCATGAACTTCCAGCTTTCGACAACTCCAGAAATGCGTGAGTTAAAACGGGAAATATGGTTGAAATTTTACAAACATTTGAAAAAATTGTTGGACACCTGGCCAGAGACACGACATGAGGTGAAACTGATGATATATAAAGGTGCGTTCACTACAATTACATCCTTTAAATTGTCGAGTAACAACAAAATTTTAGCTCATAAAGAAAATGGGGAGCTCGTTGATGTTGGCGAACTGCTTCAGACGCTTGTCAATATTTAAAACTCTTCCATAAATGTATGTAAAAGTTCATAGAGCATGCAAAATCGACATTGACAATACCGAATTACTTCATTTGGGCCTATAGAAACAGTTGCGGTCGACTTATAAACTAAGCGAATTTAGAGTGAAACTTTTTTAATTGATTAAATATCTTTTGTAAAAACTTGTAATGTTCTCTCTATTTTGACAATTTTTGATTATAAACGAGTTTTATTGATGTATATGTACTTACTAGTAATATCGATTTAAAAACCATCTATTTAGTGACTATAGCTTCAGACGATTCGGTGCAGTCTAATTCTCTGAGCTTAGCTTGAGCCATAGCCAGCATCCGAGATTTCCATTTCTCGTAGTCTTCAGTTTCCGGCTTCTGTGGCTTTATGTTCTTCGATCCATTTGCGATATTCTCCTCTTGATTTTGCTTAAAGTTGCGCTCAACGTCCGTAGTAAAAATGGGGTCTTTGTGATGTTTGGATATGGAACGCTCCCATCGCTGCTCCAGTTGATGCCACTGAGAGGGCCGTAAATTGCTAAACGGCATCAATTTTGTTTTGGAGACTTTCCTCTTCAGCAAGCGGCATGCATAAAAAACGGCCATAGCAGCATACTGTGGATGTGTAATGTCTATATCTGCATTCTCAGTTATTCCAATGTTATTGTACAGCTGCAAAAGCTCCTCAGCCTTGCGCGCCACGTCGTTCAATCCAAGTTGCAGGCATATATCCTTAACGCTCGCCAGTTGATTAAGATCAAGCAGCTTTTCGAACATGCGCTTGTTGTTCATGTAATGAGTTTTACGGAGCCCTGACAGCTTGAGAGCCTGCTCCTTGTCAAAGGCAATCCCTAAGATTGTAGATGCAAGATCACCACACAACACAATTTTGCCATATTCGTTGATTTGCAGGGGCACATTAGTTGATCGCAGTTCCAAAAGACGCATTAGCTCTGTGGTTTTCCTAACGAAGATTGTTACTTATGCAAAAGGTTTGTATGCTTTTCGAGAATACTTACTCCAAGACATTAGGCTCGTCTCGCAGACCCATTTTATTTATGAGCTGTTCAATCAATGTGGCCATGCTTGGTGGAACCCTAAACTACAAATGCACATATATTGTTTACAAGCCTGATTGTCGCGTGAATCTGTTAAGAATTGGCGCGAACGAGACCAGCTGACGGCAATGTGGCGTTGCCACTTATTTGAAAAATGATTTTACATTTACTTTTAACTACGACAATCGTCCTTATGAACTATTTAATGCTACCATTTAGCTTAAGGCCACTATCGAACAAAAAATACGTCGTTGGGCACTATATCCATACTTACGAATTGTTCCACTAAGAACAATAAAACGTTTAAGAAAAATATCTTTAATTTGCTGATAGCCCAGAATCTAATTCAATGACACCACAGGTTTAACTTATATATCATTGTCGCTATCTTCTTCGTTCTTTGCATCGTGTCCTGCCTTAACAGCAGATGTAAGCCACGGCTCAGGATTAATACAATGCAAGCCGTTCGTGTCCTTACCAACCAGCCCCATTTCGTAGCGGAACTCCTTGTCCTTCAGATCGTCGTGCACTTGATAAATGCTAAAAACAAAATACACACGTTAAGTCTACGGCATTATTTTAAAATTCAAAATCACGTACATTTTACCAGCGCTTTTCACCAATTCTTCTGTTGCCATGTCCGTGAACTTATACTTTTCCATTTCCGTTTTGGCCTGCTGTTTAGCCTTGCCACTGGCGCAAGCATAGTATCCAAACGAAGAGCCCGATGGCTCAATTTTGAACAACTGCGGTCCATCGACCTCATCCCACGATGCTAATAGAATCGATAGTCCAAAAGGACGTACCGCGCTGTATAGAGTATATGCGTGTACATACGCAGAGACGCGATCGCACAAATGCTTCAGCGGGATCGTGTGTGCAAACTGTTGGCGGAAATTTGCTGCCTCTTGGCGTGCAATGTCAGCAACAAAGTTTCCATCGGCTGTCAATCCGGCGACAGCCATGCCAATATTTTTCTCAATTGTAAAAATACGACCGGCGGCATCTGCCTCATATAGCTTACTTGTAATAATCTTCTCGACGGCAAGCACTACGCTATCTTTGCCGCGTAGACCAATTACGGTGCCACTTTTTTCCACCGCCTTCGAAGCGTAATCAATTTGGAATACGCGGCCGTCCGGCGAGAATTGTGAGGCCGACAAGTCGTACTATAAAAAATGCACATCTAAATTATATTGCGTTTCTAGCGAGCATAGTCACATCAACTTACACCGGTGCCAATAGTACTCATGTTTGGATGTATTAATAATTGATTACTGCAATAAGAAAATTATAATAAAATCTCTGTGAGCTATTGCTAATATAGTATTGGGACGATGATTTGACGCCTTTTGATGTGACAGCGAAAATATGGCCAGAGTTGTCTTCACTTTCAATTAACACACAAGGTTGCATTGACGGCGTATATGAACTAGAATGGAACGAGCTCATTGCCTCTAGTTCATAGCATCGCACGCGGCAAGTTTTATAAACAATAAAGCATGTTGGCAAATGTTTGTGAAAAAAAGTGAGTTAAGAATTCTGCTAGTAATTAAAAATACCACTAACCTTCTTTAAATGAATTTCAGTTATGCGGCCGAAGCACGCTACACAAACTTCTACGCTGGCGGCGACATCGCTTGGAGCGTCGATGGAGAACGACTTTATTGTCTAAACGGTGATGTCGTCCACGAGGTGGATGTGGAAACATCTACAATAACAAACAGCTTTGGTGTAAATGTCGGCAGTGGTTCTACCGCCGATAATAACAAAAGCAGCAGACAAAACTCTGATACTGATGGAATAGAGGACACAATTTATTGTTTTTCCTTGTCCAGTGAACATTTAGTGACTGCACATCGCAGTGGTCTGCTACGCTTATGGCAGTTGAGCACTGGCAAGATGCTAAAGCTGTGGAAAGCTCAGCACAAGGGGCCTGTCGTTAAAATACAATTCAGTCCATGCGGCAAGCTTATCTGCAGCAGCGGCGGAGCGGACTCAACCTTGCGTGTTTGGGATTTTGGCAACAGCAGCTGCTTGTGCGCTCTGAAAGATTTTGCTGGACCAGCTCTGCTATTGCGATTTCATCCAAATGTTTTGGTACGCGAACTGTATGCCGTAGGCGCCGATAACACAGTCTACTGCTGGAATTTTGAGACCAAGAACCTGATTCGAAAAATGCGTGGACATCTCTCGCAGGTAACTGGCCTAAGCTTCCAGACAGCGGCAGCTGATTGTAAGCAAATGGTGAGCGTTAGCCGGGACAAAGTGCTTATCGTTTGGCGATTGGACGAGCAGTTTGAAGCCCATCAATTAAAGGTTTTGCCGTTGTACGAAGAGCTCGAAGGCGTGACACACATCGCTAACGGTGGCCAACTACTGGTGGCCAGTGCAAGCGGCAAGATCCAACAAATCGACACAAATACATGGAAAATAAAAGAGTTACTAAAGCAGATGGAATTCGAGGTTACTCGCCTATTACACTGCATTCAAACAGACCAGCTGGCCTTAGTAACAACGGAGCAGAACATTTTAATCTACAACGTGCTTACGGCGGACGAGGCAGTTACGGGAATTGAGGCTTTTAAACAACTGATAGGATACAACGATGAGATACTAGATATGTGTTTTCTAGGCGACAACGACCGCTATCTGGCTGTAGCCACAAACAGCAAGCACTTCAAGCTTTATGACACAAATCACAATATGAATTGCAAACTAATTGCCGGGCATACAGACACGGTTATGACTCTGGCTGCATCGAACAATCTGCTGATTTCAGCCGGCAAGGATTGTAGCCTACGACTGTGGAAATTGTCGCATGAGACAGACTTCACGTTGCTTGAAGTAACCCAACAAAAAAGTTGCCACACAGCCACTATTGGTTGCATTGCATTTACGCACCACGGCGCCAACGGGTTCGCCTCAGTCTGCCAGGATGGCAGCATGAAGGTGTGGCAGCTATCGCGTGACCAGCAAGATCGCACTACTTACATCATCACTCTTCGATATGCAGTACACGCCCACGATAAGGAAGTGAACTGTGTCTGTTATGCGCTCAACAATAAGATTGTGGCAACTGCCTCGCAGGACAAAACTGCGAAACTGTGGAGTGCCGACTCCAATGCGCTGCTTGGGGTGCTGCGGGGACATACACGTGGCGTATGGTGTGTGCGTTTCTCGCCCGTGGACCAAGTTGTGCTCACATCATCGTCAGATTGCAGCCTCCGCATCTGGTCCATAGCCAACTTTAGTTGTCTCAAACGTTTGGAGCAAGAGTGCACAATATTACGGGCCGAGTTTCTAGATCACGGCAAGTTCATTTTGTCCGCTGCCTCGGACGGCCTTCTTAAGATATGGAACATTAAGACCAACACCTGCGTACAGTCAATCGATGAGCACAGCGATCGCGTGTGGACTTTGGCCGTGTCCTCCTGTACCAACCGCTATTTTTATACTGGGGGCGCCGATTCCAAGCTGATTAAATTTAATGACGTCACAGAGACGACCCGAAATCAGACTCTCGATATACGACAAGCCAACCTAGAACAGGAGCAGACGCTGCAGTCATTGCTGCACGCACAGAAACAACTCCATAAAGCATTTGTTTTGGCGCTGACACTAGGTAGGCCGAAGGCCTCATATGATGTCATTAGCCATTTTGTTCGAAAACGGGATGAGGCGGCTGTGCAGAACCTTGTGGACCAGCTTAATATTGATCAACGTGTGACGCTTTTAGAGCATGTGAAAGCTTGGAGCACCAATTCACGCCACTCACGAGTCGCGAATCTGATACTGCAGCATCTGTTAGGCAAGGCTATGCTGAATCCCTTGGCAAACTTTTACAATCACGGCAACATGATCGAGGTCCTAACGCCTTATGTACAACGACATTTTAAGCGAGTGACTGAACTAAATAGGGAGCTAGCATTTTTGGAGTTCATTGTCAAGTGCATGTGATTAATTAATTCAATTTGCGCCTTGGGTTGTTTTCCAGTTATACTTACAGTAAAATGACAGATTTTTTATGGGGAACTGCCAGTTTAATGCCAATTTCGTTAAAGTAACTGGCATAAGATTTTATTACGTATTTGAATATATGTAGCTTTAATAGAAATAATAAACTGAATTGCAAAGAAACTGTTTGGTTTATATTTTAAATAAAATAGAGTTCCCCGACAATAATATTTCGTAAGTTTCTCCTCTCCTATATTTTGGCCCAATTACAAGTACTTGTATACCAATTTCTAATTGAAATTTTTCTCAGAAAAATGTATTTTGCACATACAAGTGTTTGCAGCGGACCTCTGCAAATACTACTCATTTGAAAGCCTCAAATCTTGTCTTCGTGAAACTAATCGATGCTATGAGAGATACATATATAATGTAATTTAAAATCCGCTCTCTAAAAAGAAGAGATAATATGAATTATAAATTAATTTTCTTTATAAACGCAATGATTTGAATTCTTGTAAGGGTAAAAAACATTCGATCTGAGTTGTGCTCAATTCAAAAATTTCACAATACCATTTATAGTGCAGACTTATATTTGTATTGAAAATATCATTTATTTCGGAGTACACAATTAACATTTATAACAACTAATAATAATTTCGCAAAATGTTTAACATACATTTACAGACAAATTTGTTGTAGTATTTAAAATATCGAAAATCGTTGAAAAATGTAAATATTTATATAAAAGTTTGTGCGCTATTTTTAAATATAGAAAGTATAACGTAATGTTCAACATTCAGCGTCAACTTTTCGAAAAAGGACCTGTTCGTCTGTTCATATTATATTGTATGTGGACCTAACTATAGTTTTCCTGATAAATGATTCTATAAAAGCTCAGTTGTGGCGATGCGCGACCGCTTGGCAAACATTTCCATTTCGAAATAATGGAGCATTTCCATTTTTGATAAGGTTCCCTAGACTATCACTGTTTAGCTTAAAATTACAATATATGGATACAACAGACTGGGGATAGGGAGGAACACAAAACATTGATTTGAATCCCTACGCACGATTAAGTGGTACGGATATAAATATTAATATTTTTATTCAACGACCATGATCAGATCATCGCCCTCCAGTTTCATGCCATTCGTGATTTCCAGTTTCTTAACAGTGCCCGCCTGTGGCGCCTGTACGACCATCTCCATTTTCATGGCTGAGAGCACAACCAAGGGCTGGCCCTTCTCGACCTTATCGCCTACGTTGACGCGTATGTCAATGACGGTACCGGGCATGGGAGCACCAACCTCATTCTTGTTCGACTTGTTGGCTTTCGGATGAACGTGAATTTCCTGTAAAGCGAAAAGTTCAATAATAAGTGCACATTGGAAATTCTACTGGCATGTCCTATCTTACCTTCACAGCCTCCTTGTCCAGGATGTGAACGGTACGCAACTGGCCGTTCATTTCGAAGAATACCTCGCGATCGCCATTTGGCTTGAGATCAGCAGCCATGGCCATAGCCTTCAAGCTTAATGTCTTGCCACGCTCCAACGATACCTCGAACTCCTCTCCAACCTGCAGTAATGCAAAAATGTTGATTAGAGATGACCGAACCTAGGAAATGCTGAAATACCTTGGGGCCAGTGAGGAAGATGCGTGTGTCCAGCTTATCCACAGGTCCAAATTGCTCGCGGAAGTGCAAGAAATCGTTGGTTACTTGAGGATATAGAGCGGCAGACATGACGTCGCGATCGCTGATGTTCGGATGAGATTCCTTCAGTTCTTGCTTCAGCTTATCAAAGTCCAACGGCTCGAGTCCTTCGCCGGGGCGGCCTTCAATGCGTGGCATATCCTTGAGCACCCGTGAGCGCAATGGCTCGGGGAAGCCACCATGTGGTATGCCAATCGAACCCTGCAAGAATTCCACCACCGATTTGGGGAATGAAAGCTCCTCGGCCTTTTCCAGTACTTGGTCGGCAGTGAGATTGTTTTGTACCATAAATTGAGCCAAATCGCCCACCACCTTCGATGAGGGTGTCACCTTTATGATATCACCCAGCAGTAAATTGGCCTCCCGATATGCCTTCTTAACATCCTCGAAGAAGTCACCCAATCCCAGTGAGAATGCCTGGAACTGCAAATTAGTGTATTGACCGCCGGGTATCTCGTTCAGGTACACATCGGCATTTCCTGATCTCATCGTGGTGGTGCACTCGAAGGGTGCGTACAGTGTGCGCGTCTGTTCCCAGTATGCTGAGTATTCTGATACATTGCGCAGGTCCAGCTGTGTGTCCAGTGGGGTGCCTTGGAGCGATGCCACTACAGCACCCATGCTTGGCTGAGATGTCATTCCGCTCATGGAATCGACGGCAACGTCGACAACATCGGCACCAGCCTCAGCGCAGGCCAGCATGGAGGCCACACCTGCACCGGACGTGTCATGGGTGTGAATGTGGATGGGTACATCAGGATGCTTCTCACGAATGGCAGAAATCAAAATCCTGGAAATAAATATGAAGTCATACCAAGACAGTGAAAGCGAGCAAAATGTTGTCTACATACTTGGCTGCCTGTGGCTTCAGCAGACCTGCCATGTCCTTGATGCAGAGCACATGAGTGCCAGCCTTGACCAGTTCATCGGCCAAGTTGGTATAGTACTTGAGATCGTATTTGGTACGCTTAGGATCACTGACATCGCCTGTGTATGAAATCGCAGCTTCGACCACGCCACCGGCCTTGCCGGCTGCCTCCATGCCAAGTATCAAGTTTGGAAGGTAGTTGAGCGAGTCGAACACCCTAAAAATGTCCATGCCAGTTTGCACGGCCAGTTCGCAGAATTTGTAGACCACGTTGTCGGGATAGCTTGTGTAACCAACGGCATTGGCACCACGCAACAGCATTTGGAATGGTATGTTTGGAATGCGCTTACGCATCTCTTCCAGACGCTCCCACGGACACTCGTGGAGAAAACGTAGCGCCACATCGAAGGTAGCACCACCCCAGTTCTCCAAAGCGTACAGATTATTAAACTTATGCGCCACATATGGTGATATCTTCAATAGATCGTGGGATCGCACGCGTGTTGCCAACAGGGATTGATGAGCGTCCCGGAAAGTGGTGTCCATCAGCATTAGATTTTTTCGGGAGCGCACCTCCTTAGCGAAGGCTTCGGGGCCCTGACGCACAATAATATCGCGCAGGCCCTGAGGTGGTTCGGTTACTGTGTTAATCAAATGATTAAAAGTTAATAACAGTTTTACTAAAGTTTTAAAGATTACAATGAGCGTTAGAAAAGTAATGCGGAACGAACAAGGCACACAACTATACGTAATAAAGCGGCCAGCAACAAAATGATGAATTCAATTATTAATCATAAAAAAGTGAATCTTATATAAATAAATATACCGGATGGCTTAAAGCATTAAACGCTGATTTTTCTTTAAATTACTCAATTTTTACTTACATAAGCTTTGGTTAAACAGGCAAATAATTTGCACACAATTTCTCGGATTTCACAAGATAGTTATTAATATGTTAATTCAATTAAAAACAAATTTACTTTGTTACTAAAATCTCGTTTTAAAATAACACAAATTTGTGTACACACTATTTTTCAGTTTGAAAATTTTATATTTCAGTCAATAAGACGGATATTTAGAATCATGAGTAGAGCTGTGTGAATTTCCAAAATATATTTCACAAAATTAGCTTCGTTTCAGGGTACGAATCCTTGACCCTTTTCTAGAATAATATAGGACTTATTTTTTATGTATGTATCTACAAAATGTATTTATAATATACACTAAAATGTTCATCATCATATCATAATTGGTTTGCATTTTTTGCATTTAAATGCTTTCTAGTTTTCAAAAATTGGACTGTTGAACGTGGAAAATTTTCATTTTTAAACAAGAAGTAAATGTGTTTTTGAAATTCATTGTGATTACGATTTCAATTTAAGATACTTCTATTCACACAATTATCGTGATTAAATTAAAAATTAAATTTGTACATTTTTGCTTCATTATTTTTGTGAGATAGTGCACAAATTTTATGATTTTTTTCAGTCGTCATGTTTACGAAATTCTTAAGGGGTTTTCAGCCTCTAACGCACTGTTCTAATCCTGAACTCAATTTAACTACCACTTCGAAGCGATTGAATGTCTATTTTATAATAATATGCATATTAAATATTAAAACTCTGAGGCAAGATCAAAAAAATAAATATTTTGGAACTCAGAACATGCCGGAAGTAGAACTATGTATAATTTTGTAGCTTATATGTATACATACAAAATGTGTAAAAAAAAAAAAATAATGAATTACAAAATTTTAAACTCAAACGTATTATATAAAATAAGAAATTGAAAAACTTAAGCTTATACCCATAATGAATATTTAATGTTATCATCCTGATTTTATGTCTTGTTTATAGTCCTACTTGAATGTGTGTAGAGTAATGTAATATAATAATCCCATATGCAGGCACCTCAACGGAACTAAACCGTTTACAATTAAACTTTGAACCCAAAATGTGTTCATATGAGAGCATAATGTGGCTTCCATTTATATTCTAGTGCGAACGTTGATGAAGATAAGAATTCGTATACATATATAGATGTACTATATATATTTCATTTTGCCTTGTGCCGATGTAATGAGTGTGAGGTGAATGTGGACAAAAGAAATTAGAAGAGAAGGAACATAAACATACCTTTGGCCTCACCGCGCTCTTCACGTTCTAATGCTTCCGGCGACAAGTCTTCGGTTTTTATGAGAAATCATGAGAACGTATCGTTATGAATGTGGTATGGCGAGGCGTGGCGTGCATTTGAATTTGGTGTTGTTTTACAGGCATAGACATTGTTGTGATATTGGTATTTGTTTTTGCAGTTGTTGGTTTTTGATTTTTGGATTAATAACAAAGTAAATATAAAATATAGTAATTAAGACCATAAAGTGAAATAAGGGAAGTAAAGCAAGAAGAAAAAGGATGTAACCAAAAAATTAAAGCATGCGCCCTCTTTACTTTAATTCATCGATTATATTCCCGAGCAAAAAAAGTGCGTTGTGCTACGGAAAAAATATTGAATGATTTCAAAAAGCAACTCCACTGGGGGGTAGTCACACAAGCGTTAAACGTATAAAGCATAGAAGCGTAAAACCACATGCCATAACATCGAATCCCAAACAAAAGTACTTACCTAGGGGCACGGTTGGGACATGAGGACTGACCTCAGCCGGTTTCAAAGTGGTGGCGAGCGGAGTCTGAGGCCCATTAACCAGAACTTCACCGAGGTAGTTGAGCAGCTTTTGAGCGCGATTCTGTGAGGTACGGAACTTGAAAAGCTGCGGATGCTCATCAATGAAATAGGTGTCTAGCACGCCGTGCAGGAATTTCTGGTTCTCCAATACATTCAGCAGGAAAGGGATATTTGTCTTAACTCCACGAATGCGGAACTCACGCAGAGCGCGATTCATTTTTGAGGCGGAGCTCTGCAGATCGCTGGCATGCGATATAACCTTGACTAGCAGGGAATCATAGTAGGGCGATATAATGGCGCCAGCATAGGCGGAGGCGCTGTCTAGACGAATACCCATACCCTCACCGGAACGGAACACCTCCAAACGGCCTGTATTGGGCTGGAAGTCGTTGGCCGGATCTTCGGTGGTGACACGGCACTGAATGGCATAACCGCGTGGCTGAATATTCTCTTGAGTGTATCCCAACTCGGGCAGAGTCATACCCTCAGCAATGCGTATCTGTGATTGCACCAAATCTATGCCAGTTATCTCTTCAGTAACCGTGTGCTCCACTTGCAGTCTATATATAAAATATATCTCTTAGTTATAAACGCAACTTGGCCTTCAAAAGCTCTCTCACCTAGCGTTCACCTCAATGAAGTAGAAGTTGCCGGACTCGTCGCACAGAAACTCGACGGTGCCAGCGTTTTCATAACCGACATGTTTGGCCAAACGGACTGCGGCTTCAGTCATCTTGTCGCGCGTTTCGATGGGCAGACGAGGCGCTGGAGCGATCTCGACCACTTTCTGGTGACGACGCTGCACCGAACAATCGCTATAATAGTTGTAGGTAATTTTATTATACAATTAAATCAAGTTGAAGTGCCATAACTGCCTCACTTACCGCTCGTATAGATGGACCACGTTGCCAGCCTTATCGCCAAGCAGCTGGACTTCAATGTGGCGTGGTCGTTCGATGAACTTCTCTATGAACATGGCACCATTGCCGAAGGCGGCCTTTGCCTCGGAACTGGCACGCTCGAACATCTCTCCCACCTCCTCCATTTTGCGAACCACACGCATACCACGACCGCCGCCGCCATAGGCCGCCTTGAAGATCACGGGCAGACCATGCTTCTGGCAAAAGGCTAAGGCCTCCTCTTTGGTGGTTATAGGGCCGTCAGTGCCTGGAACGATGGGTACGCCCGCCTCAATAGCGGCAATACGTGCAGCCACCTTGTCTCCCATGTTCTGCACCACCGTTGGTGAGGGGCCAATGAACCGCAGACCAGCATCAATGACCGCCTGGGCGAAATCGCTGCGCTCGGAGAGGAAACCATAGCCTGGATGCACTGCATCGACGTCGTTCTCTTTGCAAACACGTATAATCTCTGGAATGTTTAGGTACGCCTCAACGGGCGGCAGACCCTTTCCGACTAAATACGATTCATCCGCCTTTTGTCGATGCATGTGCATTTTATCCTGCTCGGAGTACACAGCCACTGATTTGATACCCAATTCTGTGCAGGCACGGAACACACGTATCGCAATCTCTCCGCGATTGGCGACCAGCACCGATCGAATTGGCTTGTATTCGACCTATTTATCATTTCAGATACTTGTATAATATAAGCCTGCTATCTTTGCTATCATAGAGTCCTTACCTGACTGGAGTAGGCATTCTTGTTGATGAAGTAGAGACGAACGCGTGGCTGGGCATGGCGCAGCGTTTTGAACGCGGATTGTGCAACCGGTATGAACATAGTGGGTTAAGCAACTGCACTGTGGCCTCGAAGTCGCTGCAATTACACAATCAGACATAGAGAATTATTGCATACGAGTTCGAACCGCTCGCCAGTCTCGGCTTATCTGCCTTCTAATGGGCAATCGACGCGACGACGACAACAACGCGATTTCTAAACGATTTGAGGTTATCGCATTTACTTTCAAAAGCATTACCAAAACGATTTTAAGGTCGCATTGGGTATGAACACGCAGCTTATTCTGTCTGCCCATGAATTCTAACGATTATTAAGTTGTGTGTGGTTCACTTTAGGAAAAATGTTTCGATTCATTAGCTTTTATTAGAAAGTATTTATGCTTTACTTAGTATTCAAGACTGTTCCCCTTTCCAAACTTGCACACATTATTGGATCTCATATCAAAGCATACAAGTTTATCTAGTTTTCACAAAGAAGGAAAACCAGACTAATCGGGAAACAGACGGATTATATTATCTTCTTTGTTTGTAGAGTTTCAGAAACAAGCCTATTCTATATTTTCAGCTAAAAGTATAATTTTTAAACCAATGCAAACGATTGAATAGGAGAAACATCCAAAGATAACCTCTAGTCAGAAATCATGTCTTACTCTGCTTAAATGCAATTTTATACTAGCTGTAAAACTTTTTGATTTTAAGTTCGTTTTCAGATTAGAAAATGAAGGAATATAAGCGGGACTAATTGATATAAGGAAAAAGTCTTTAATATTTGAATTTGGTATTATATTTTCAATTCAAAGTGTAGGACATTTTTTAGTTAACTTAATTTTAGGAAGAATTTTTGCAGTTTCATTACCAAGGTTTTGCGAAGATAAAATGACCTATTCAAAAAAAAAAAAAAAACAATCCCTATCGAAAGCCACATTTAATATTCAATAAGGTCCTGTTTGTATGGGGTATAATGGACTTGAAAACAAACATGTCTCCTTAAATTGTGCTTCAAATATTCGACCTGGAACAAATGAGAATTATGACTGTATTTTTTTTTTAGAGATCAGGGCGTGTCCGCAAGTTACAGTTTCTTCTTCTTCATTATTATAAATATAGTTATTACTAATATTGCAAAAATCCAACGGGTTCCCTTGTACTATAAGACTTGATGTGAATAACCTACTTGCCAACGAAAGCAGACTTCTTCATATCTTAAGTTTGTTTATTTGCTTTTTATACATACATACATACATACATAGTTATATATATATTTACAAACATTTAGGTAAGCCTTTTTTAAATTGTTGTGGGTGGGTGTGTTTGTTTTGATTGCCTGGAGATTTAACACACGTGCCACCTAAAAACATACTTTCGTCTTAAACTAAACGATTATTTTGTTGTTGTGCTTTTAACTTTATTTTGCGTCTGTTTTTTTTTTTTTCATTATCGACTTTGCGACACTAATAATCTGGGTACAAGGTCCGCTCAGCCCCTCACCGCCAGACAGAGACCGTGAAATGGTTTTCTTCATTTGCATGTCGGTATCTAGACAAGTTCAATGCTAGGTATTGTATTTTATATTACGTGCGAGTGTCGGATGAATGTATTTATTTCAATGTTTTGGGGGCTCGTCGAATGAAAACCTGTTTGGTAATTCATAAATTTATTCAAAACAAAAAAAAATCGGCTCGATTTTTAACATGTATAATCGGTCACATGCCTTGTTTGGGAATTGCAAACGACTTAATTATAAAGGAAAATTTCTCTATATAAATGATTAATCAAGTTTAAGGAAACGTCAGCGAATTCAATTATTGACTTTGATTTTAGTTGGCGATTTAACAAAACCAGGCTTGAAATGAAATCTGAAGGAAAAGCTGAAAATGGACGTCACAAAATATTGGGAAAAAACACGAGCACATTGTTGTCTACTTTTAATACTTTGATTAACACTTCCATGATCACCTTGCCATTTCTTCTCTTCACGTGGTCGGCACAACGGACTGTCCAGAAATTTCTCATCAACACACATGTCTATTTGTTATATTCAAATGTCATTTCATATAAATGGAGACTAACTCCGATGATATTACTTGCAAATGTATGTTGTATTATCGTGGAAATGGTCTCCTTGTTTAATCTATTTTTTTACACAGTGTGTATGGAACACCTTTTTACCAAAGTTAACCACACCTTTCTGTAATATCTGGATAGGCCTCTTTCCCATTTCATATGCAGTTTGTTTTTGCAACAGAGCCATAATTACGAGTAGAGAATACTTCGGATGTGGGGTGCACGTGAAAAAATAAGTAAAAGCACTCGACATTTGTTTCAATCCCAAAAAGCGATTAGTTGATGAAAACAGCTGCAAAACCAAGAGGGCTGAGGGAAATGTTGGCACTTGTCTATATGTAGATAAACAGCAGATAAACAGCTTTTTATTAACACTTCATCGCATAGGGCAAACATACATATAATATATATAAGTATATATCTGTACAAATATGAATGAGCACACAAAATTCGGAAAGCCCCTGGGGGATGGGTCAAAGTAATTACTGGGGGCCCAATGGATTGGCATTTGCTCGTCAATAAATAATGAAAAACACGATTGTTCTTTCCTTTTCACAATCGAGTTAATGAAGTCTCCAAATGTCACTCTTATCTCTCGTGTATCTGATGGGTTTTGATTGCGATCAATATCGGACATTCGAGTCGTCCAAATCGTGCGAGACTAATGCATATCACCTTTTTTTTTGCTCGTGCGAAAAACGAGTTTTCGTACCTTAATGCCATTTATCAAAATAAAAACACATTCCGGTTTGACTTTGAATTTTTTTTTTGCTAAACGCACGTAATGAGAGCTTTTTTCAAGGTCATTGTGCTGAAAGTATTTCAGTTTCCAGTAATTTTTCAGTTGATTAAATTTAATCAAACAATGCACATTGCCGTTGTAACAATTAAAAGGATCTTGAACAAAACTTGAAAGTTTTATACTGACAAGCATCGCCGGGAATCATATAAAAGCTGATAGTGGCAAGTGTACGCGCAACAAAACTTAGAGATAAGCCTCAAAGTCACCTTTGGAAACTGAGTGATCGATCATTCGAACCGTTGCCCGCTAAAATGTACTACTTCTTATGTATTTATGTATGTATGTATATACATACTACTTATGTTAAAATGTCTGTATATACTTGTACACGCACATCTACCAAAATCAACTTAAGCACATGGGAACGTAGGAATAAGGATTGGTTTTTCTTATCAATATGCAATGCAGCTTTTGTATACTAAGTACATAGACCGACAGAAATATACTTATATTAGTAGTAGAAAATAAGAGTCTTCATGATACGGTCGGCGAAAAATCAGCGTTTTAATTTCAAAATTTCAAAGTGCAGAATTTTTGTTATTCTGCAGGCAACTTAAGCCGAAGCTACAATTATAAGGTAATGTCTTCAATTCCAACGCAATCAAACTGTCAATTTCCAATATACGATTCTTGCCTTGATTCTGGTTAACATTGAACGTATTGACAAACAAACGCATTGTTTCCATTTTAATAGCCAATGGAATTAAAAGTTATTTACGAACTTTACCCTCAAGAATGACCAAAATCGGTTTAAATACATATAGTATAAGTACTACCTTGATTTGTGATTGGTGTTATCTTTTAATGCGCGAAATGTAACTTAGCTTCCTTTTACTAAATTTGTAAAAAAAAATAAAACGCGCGTTGGTATGATATCCAAGAGAAAAAATGATTTTCCCTAATTTTAATTCTGTTGAACATATATTTAAACAAGTAAAAAAGCTAAAGTCGGGTGTCCCGACTTTGAAATACTCTGTACATATGTTTACAATAATTATAGAAAATAAAAAAAATTAAGAAAATAAAAAAAAAAATTTGATCGATTTTACCTCTCTCGGTATTCGAACTCACGTAAAGGGTGTATAATTGCACATTTACATAGCAATTGCGTCTGTGTGAGTGTATGTATGCCTATGCGCATTAATTCGTGTCTGTGTAAGCATTTTCGCAGTCAACCAAACAGCAACATCAACAACAGCCGCGGGCAGCGCTTGAGCAGCGCTGCAGCAGCGCTGCATCAGCAAATATATTTATGGCTATAACTTCTTGTTAAATCGGTCTATCATAATGAAATTTGGCATACGGACATATAATAACTAACTGGGGGTATTTCCAAAATTTTAGTTCGAAATTCCAAGAATTACGGGAGTTACGATTTGCGGGGTAGAGGGGGGAGGGAGGGGAATTCCAAAATATACATTTTCTGCGTATTCACATAAGGCATCTGGGACTAAAATTTGGTGTTCCTAGGTCTTATAGTCTCCGAGATATAGGCGATTATACGAATGGAAAATCGGGAAAACCCCCATAGGGGGGAAGTGGGGGGGAAAATCAAAAAAATAAAACAAACTCGTATAGAATACACACATAACGCATCTTCGTGCAAAATTTGGTGTCTCTATCTCTTATAGTCTCTGAGATCCAGGTGTTCATACGGACGGACAGACGGACAGACGGACAGACGGACAGACGGACAGACAGACAGACAGGGCTAGATCGACTCGTCTCGTCATGCTGATCAAGAATATATATACTTTGTGGGGTCTGCCACGCCTCCTTCTGCCTGTTACATTTTTCAGCTCCCGCAAACCTAATATACTCTTGTACATTTCATGTACAGAGTATAAAAAATCTACTTTCAACCCTCATTTAAATAATGTGCCAGCTTTTTCATTCCAAAAACCATTTGTGGTCATAAAAATGACCCCAGACAATAGCCAAGAGTATATAATCTTCGGGCTGATGAATATAAGCCTTTTTTTAATTTACTTACACATTCAATAACAACAAAGCCAAACAAAAAATGGAAAACTAAAAATACATATACTCGTATGTACATTGAAACGTGTTTCGCTTTTTAACGACAATTTGAAAAGTATACACACTTAAGAACCGGCTTTTGGATAGTTGTTCGCACTTTTACTGGAATTTGAAACGCAAATATAGGGTTGAATTAAGCTTAAATTGTTAAGGTCCAAATTGTACACAAATACTAAATAGCCATTTTGTCGATAATACTTGTAGAATTTGCGAATTGTTATTTACATAAATGCAAGTATGAATAATAAATGAAAGAAAATTCAATTCAGCATATCAGTGCACGGGCCCGACTAGTGTCTATCATTGCAGCAAGAACAGTAAATACTTACGTATTGCTCAAAATTCCCTAAAGACATACTATACTATACAAGTTATACGTTTACTGTTGTACTTGTATACTGTCCAAATATTGCTCACGCCAATTACTTATCAATATGTTCGTGTATTTTATGGCCATTCCCACCAATTAATTGGTTATTTATGGTATGGCGTCTGGCACACCACAGTTCCAAAAATGCATAGGTATAAACGCCTTTTGGTAAATATTAATTACGACAATTATCCTGTTGCTTTTGTTTATGCTACCAATTTGTATCCTGACAGACCACGCAAGTTTCTTTTATCGGCTCAGCGTCATGAAACGACAGCTAATACTATATGTAAGTATAGTTATTCATGTAAATATGTACACGTATAAACTGTATCAATAGCTGTGAAGCAATCTGTTTGTTTTAATAATAATATGTACGTGTATAATGCATCAAGTGATTTTTTATAAGAGTATACGATGTCAGAGGTGATAATGCTAGCCGCAAATTTTATGCGTACTCTACACCGCGCCGCGCCACGCGTTTTCGGTGATCTTGAACGTAAGTCACAAAGGTCAAAGTCATTTGAAAAGTGGGCCTGGAATTTTGTAGATTGCACTAGCAATAGGTTTTTAGTTTTACGTAACTGATAAGACTAAATTCAATAAATCTATAAATTAAAAGAAGAGATTTAAACAGAAACTTTGATATAGAAGAGCCTTTTATTGAACACTAGAGACAGATAATTAAAGCAAGTCTGTATTTGTAGTTTGTGCGTATAAATGTATGTACTATATACAAATATTTGCATATTTGGGTGTGTATTATAAAATTATTGGACTCTTGTTATGTGACTGGACACCGGTTCAGCGACACGCAAATCAAATCATCGTCATCAGTTTGATAGCCATCACATGATCACATTATACTATAAATTTGTACCCTCTGTCCACATTGAAAAGCGTATTTCTGTTTATTTCTCAACACGCGAGTAGAATAAAAATCATTGCTATAAATTTTTCGCCGCAAATAAAAGTAAGGGAAATAGAAATAAAACTTTAATAACAAGTTCGTAGTCTGTTATGGGTTCCGGCCGGAGCTTTTATATCGGCGCGTGTTTTGTTTTTGTCAAACACGTTTCAGTCGGGAGAGAAACCATAAGAAGGTCATAAATATTGGGCAAAATGAACTAAAAAAAAAAAGAAAAAAGTAGGCGACCGCGACACATTTCCATACGTTGGGCTCTGTATATACATATATATGTACATGTATATATACATGTCTGTATATATGTACATGCGTACGTATGTGTGGGTGCGATGTAGAAAATAAAATGTAATTAACAAATGTCTGCCAGAACAACGAAAAGAAAAAGTGGAGGAGCAACGTTTGTGATTTACATTTGAAAAGGGAAAATAAAGAAAGTCAATCAATAGAAACGCATGGCGTCGAAAAAAATCCGCAAAATTATGCAATTAAATGTGTCTCCAAGTCCATTCTGGTTCAATTACGAAAATCGAATTCCGTATATTTATAAAACGAATTCTTTGCTATTTCAGTCTGGCTTATCTATCATTTTTGAAGCGGCAATCTGACCTACCTTTTCAATAAGGGTACTGTTATCAATATCCTTGAAAATTGCAAAAGGAAAATTTTTACCGCTTCCCCAAAGCACCCTCTCACTATCGCTCTCCCTATTCCACAGATTACGCCACGACGAAAACACGCACAAAACACTAAACACAATTGGAATTATGTGCGACAATTCTTCACAATTATGTAAGTATAAATTATAATTCACAAAGTGATCAAAATGTGAATAAATTGATGTCTAAAAATTTACAATTGACATAAATCCGTTGAGTTTTATTCGGTAATACTGAACACCACGAACACGTTATGTGCACAGTTCACTGCTGATACTGCTTTAGAACTTCGTACCGCTCGCACCAAAGCTACACGTCCAACTGACTGGTGCGTCTAATTAACTCGAAAGTTTTGCCAATATTGGCGGTTGACGGCCGTTGCTCTCTCGACGACTCTCGCAAGTTCGAACGCCTGCGTACGCAAAGTAGCAACAACATTTTTCCACTTTGTCCTTGCGACAACATTTATGTCTGTACAACCAACTGAGCGAATAGAAAGAGTCATGAAGAGCAATTTAATGGTGGACCTCTCATTTAGAGTGGTTCCAAAAGTAAAAAAAAGATCCGCCACCCATGATTAAAAAAAAAACCACACACACACTAAATTAAAAAAAATATGTAATAAGTATATTTTATAAATATACTGCGTTCCTAAATATGTTAATGATTTTTTGTGATGATATTTAGTAATTAAATTGGTAGTTTGAATTTTTTTTTTAAATATATATATATTAAATCGCAATTTATTATAAATAGACCGCTTTTATAAATATTTTAATACGCTTTTCATATATTTTCATATTTCATTAAATTTTTTAATTTAAACAACACCAGTCTATCATATTAAGCTCATAGTAGTCACTTACTGATAAATGTCTCTACGTGAGAATCAAGAACATAGTGGAAACTTTCGATTGTAATTTTTTGTTGGTCTCGCTGATAAAGCACCCATCGGCATTTGAGTTTTGCGTGTGTGCCAGGTCTTGCTATTAATTTCATTATATTATGATTTTATTTTAAAAAGAATTTTTGTAGCTGGTATAGGACAAAAAATCATACGACTTATGGTTTGTACGCTGACATTAAATGTCTAGCTGTTATCGCTCTATATCTGTCTGTCCATGGAAGTTCAAATATTATTATGACTACATCAAATATGTGAAAAAGGCTTAACTCAAGCTCAGCAATTTGGCACATATATTGTGTATAAACATTAAACTCTTAAAATGCCTCATATATTGCATATCAGCAACGCAATATTATTAGATTCAAACAAATTTGCGTTCATAAAATATTTACATTAATTCTCTTTGTAAAATGATTTACGTAGCATAATTAATGATTTGTTGTTTTCATAAAAAAAGACGTTACATTTTTCCGAATGAGAATATATTTCTTAAATCGTTAGATGTTTTGAACTGCATTATCTTATCGGAGTCGCTCGTTTTTCTTTATACTATTGTTAGAGAGGTATGTACCTGTCTTTACTACAAAATAGAGGTCACAATCCCCGAAGCGTGCCAGCCAATCACGCCTTCTCGTACGAGAGATAACGTTGGATTTTAATTTCACATTCTATTTCTTATCAGGTTCCTGAACAATTTTTCAGTAATGATAACCTGTTTAACCAATTATATAAGAAAAAGTCGTAGTCGCTTAGCTATGTATGTAGGTACATTTGTGGTTGTACTTTATTGTACAATATTCTGCAAAATGCCACACTTACGGGCTAAGGAAATATTGCCGATTATCCTTTTCAGTGTATAATTTAAGTATACAAAAAGAACATATTTTTAGGTAGAATATCCATCATAACGATTTGAAAATGGAAACTAATTGTGTGGCATTACTTAATATTTTTTCATGTAATCTTTTGCTCGTCTACGATTTTGCAAATAACATATTTTTAAATAGAATATGCATCATAACGTTTCATTGCTTAATATTTATTCATGTAATATAATTTATTGGCATTTTACGGGTAGCTTCTTTAAGTATGCCCACGTTCGATTATATTAATAAAATTGGTTAAATTTTTTCCAGTGTTTGTTCTCTTTCACAAATACATACAAACGACAAAATGTGGGCTTGTGTTAGTGAGTAGTGTTAGCAGCAACATATGATTTGTATATTTTTCACTGTGATTGACATTTTTTGGAAGAAGAACGTAGTAAACAATTATTTAATATTTCCATTATATTTGAATTCACTAAAAATTACAATGTCTGGTAATTATATTCTGTTAATATGAATAAACATGAGCAGAAATTTTGAATCCATATTTTAAAATATTACAGAAAAGACACAGGGAGAAAATGGTGATCAACCCTCAACATCAGCATCATCCGCTACACCTTTGTTTCCATTGACCAAAGATGGAAAGAAAATAGACTATGGTACTAACAACACATTGGAGCTGCTGGAACGATTACCAAGCCAAGTTGTTGACATACATCTCGACGATGTACTAACTGCCGTTAAGACTGTTGACAACCTATGCGACTTTGCCCGATGTAAGGCCAAAACAAGTCTAATGGGACAGGATTGTGGACACTGTCGTAAGCGGTTTTGTTTCAAACATGCACTGCCGGAGGTTCACGGTTGCGGGGAAGAGGTGAAACGGGTGGAGCGCAAAAATTTCCTGCATCCAAAGCCAGTGGCTTCTGTCCGGCACGAAGAGGAGATGGCGCAGGCCAAAAAGAAGCTCAATGCCAAGCTGAAGGACATGCAAGTCGGTCGCATGCAGAAGGCTGGTGGAAGTAACACTTCATCGGGCCACTCAAAGAAGAAAAAGGGCAAATAGAATAAACCAATGCATATTTGTTTAGGTTTAAAACTTATTAAAATTCTCAACACATTATTGTAAACACAGAACAGCTGATTGCCTTGGTTGAATTCTCTATCGCTATAGGTGTATTCGATTGCCGTTTTGGGTTGCCTGCTTATTATCAAAAGAGCCACAGTCACATTAAGATGTTAGCTTTGGGGCGATTATTTAACTCAAAATCATGCAATATGATAATTGCAACAAAGCGAAATATACAATTACAATATATACAGGGACAGTCACCAGAGCCAAAGGTTCGAGAATATTTCTATTACATCGATCATGAAGGCTATGTATGTACATACATACATATGTGTGCACAGATGCTTTAACAATATTTTTTTTTAATTTATGTACCTTTAGCTGTTTTTAGACGATGCTAAAATGAAAAACTTCACATCCTGCTTCAAAGAAAAACAATTTCTTAAATTCTTTTTCAGCCGGTTGCGCTTTAATCGGACCACGCGCTATAATACCGATTTTCCTTACTTGTCCCTCTGCGGAAGAGAACGCAATTTTGTGCGCTGCGACGATTCGCCGATTGTTTTCACACACTTATTGCAGCAAGATAATGGCAGTGCTAACTTGGGCTATGCTCATGCAGCAGACGCCTTGACGGTTGATTTTCAACCTCAAAAAATCTACATGAATCCAGAAACAGGCCGTGTGTATCATCCAGCTTGGCCGCAGGTTGGTGGTATTGGTCTTATACGCTCAAAATTAGCCATTGAGATGAGCCGTAGTTTTGAGTTTACCGGTGGCGAGGATAAGCCGCCCACACATTTTAACTGGAACAATGCTCGCTTGGAACTTGACAACGATTGGGTTAGAAGCACAGCCCGCTACGGAATGAGTCCCGATGCGGCGACAAAAAAACCTCTGGGTGAAGAAAACTGATTTCAACAATATGCTTAATAAAATACATATGTATTCATTTTTGTAAAGCATTTTTAATGAAACTATTCAATACTCAAGGGCTTGAACTCCCCCTCCTTTACCCATGACAATCCAGTCGCTATGCCACCGGTTGTTTGTGGTTCGGCCGACGTCACAATATCGTCTGCATTGCTTGTTCGTATGCGCTCTAGCACAGCACCGTGTACTTCTGGTAGAAACTTTTCAAAGACAATATAATGCGGGTCTTGTGTGGGTGGCATATCATAGATATGAGCCTTGTTTTCCTCGATACATTGCTTTACACAAGCCGCATATTCGCCTCTATTATGGGTTAGGATCTCAGCTGCCTCGGCATTATTAAGTTCCACAGTAACATTGCGAATACTTTCAACGGGATCGGCGAATATAGTCTGCATATATTTCAGGACTTGCCATATATGATCTTCGCCCGTACGCCATTCCGGGAAGGCGCAACTGATGTCCAGACTGTGCGTGAAGGGGCATACGTGAGGGTGAACGACATTGTGTTGGAAAATTATTGACTAAAAGTCGGATTGAAATTTAATTCAGTTAAATATTTAACAATGAGCATAATTATATTTTTGCACTCACTAGGACGCTTTTGTCATCGGGAAAACGATCAGGCAAAAGGATGGAAAACCGAAATACACTGTCTGCATAAAAACCTCTCCCGAAGAAAACACCGAACCATTCTAAAATGGAATTGAAAAATGTAAAAGAGGTATGGCTGGTGATATTTTGTATACTAACGTAGCGAATTGGCATAGCTGGGTATAACATAAACACCACTTAACTTTTCTGATTTGACCATTTTGCTGAAATTGAAAACATATTTATTTTGATGACTCCACAGGTTATTTCTTAAGTCATGGAAATATATGTGTGTGTGTGTCTTACTATTCAGCGAGGATTTTGTATTCCTGTTGAATTGTTGTGAGCAGTTTTTCATCCTTCTTGTTTGCATCCAGAGTCATTTTGCTGCTTCTTAATTAATGTTTGTATTTAAACAACAAAGCAATTTTCACATATGTACATATGTATGTATTTTATCTATGCACGATTAAGATGCAATAACATAAAACATATGATTGGCACGAAAGTGCTGCCACCCGGTTAAAAATGCACTTATTACAGCACATGCTGCCACTGGTTGTGTCCAAAAAACTTTGTTTGGAAAGCTCTTCCGCGATCTAATTTTAATAAATTAATTATAAATATCATAGAATGCTGTGTTAAAAAATATTAAAACAAATGACAAAAGACAACAAAACAATTGAAAATGAACTTGTGTCAAAGTTAGACACAGTCAACATTGCAAACCATCTAAACATAATGAACAATTGCGAAGCCAATGATGCTAAGGGCGCCGTGGAAATGGCAGCCTGTATTAGCAACAGTCCTGCTGTGCCAGCTTCGCCCTCCCCCTTCTATGGAAAGGCACAGGAGTACTGGTCACAAGTGCCGGCAACTGTGAACGGAATGTTGGGTGGGCTGGGATTCATCAGCGCCGTTGATATACAGGGATCGAACATATTTTTACGTGAGCTGAAATTGGCAGGAAACAAACTTGCTTTGGACTGCGGCGCTGGAATTGGTCGCGTGTCACGAAATTTGTTGATTCCACGCTTCGATAAGGTAGACCTTGTGGAACAAGATACTGCCTTTGCGGCAAAAGCACGCGAGTACTGCACAATAGGATGCGTTCATCCGAATCGTTTGGGAGAAATATACAATGTCGGTTTGCAAGAATTTCAACCACCGTCAGACAAAAAGTACGATCTTATCTGGAGCCAATGGGTACTAGGGCATCTGACGGATGAGGATCTTCTGGCCTTCTTTCAGCGTATGCGTATGTCACTAGCCTCAAATGCTTATTTAGTCATGAAGGAGAATGTCACATCCACGAAAAATGTTATGAAGGATGAGGAAGACTCCTCAGTTACGCGCCCGCTCCAGTTATATGAGCGCTTGCTTACACAAGCTGGCTTCAGGATTGTTCGCAAGGTCAAGCAACAAAACTTTCCAAAAGAGTTGTTCCCAGTATACATGATAGCTTGCAAACCCATAGCACCCAAGTAGCACAAACAACTGTATACATACATACAAGCAAAAATTCAAATTAGTACAAAATTAAAAGTGTTGTACATTTGAATGCCTGAACATTGTTTTAATTTTAGTCGCAATTTCAACTAGTCAGTCAGCTGGAATATCAACAGAGATTCAAATAAATAAAGACAGGATATTTATCAACTACAAATCATACATTGCTTATTATAGCTTTAATTTTAGTTAGATGTTTTAATATTATGGCAACTCTGCACAGCACTGCCATAAGCAGAGCTGGATAATTTAGCCCATTTTGTTTTTTTATCTTGAACTAGTTCGAAGCGGTTGCTAACTCCAACAGCAACGAGCATTTTTTAAACAGCTGTTGCTGATGAAACCGTGCAATCTGTAAAAGAAGCTCGACCGCAACGTTTAAGTTTTTGAAAGATTAGAATCAACAACATGTCCAAGCGCGTTCAGCCAGCATGGCAAGCTCCATCGGCTCATGTGAAGCCAAAATTACGCTTGTATAATAGTTTGACTAGGCAGAAGGAGGAGTTCGTGCCACTAGACGGCAACAACGTTACTTGGTATAGCTGCGGCCCAACGGTCTACGATGCATCGCACATGGGCCATGCAAGGTATGAAACGCCACATCAGCAGCTTTGAGCTTCCTATCTTATCTAGTGCCTTCCACTTAACTCAGGTCGTACATTTCGTTTGACATTCTTCGTCGAATTTTGGCCAATTACTTTGGCTACAACATCCACTACGTTATGAATATAACTGATATTGATGATAAAATAATTAAGCGTGCCCGCCAGAACCACCTCTTTGAGGAATATTCCAGTGCCGCCGAACAGTTTCCGCTAGACCGGTTGCTCAGCGAGCAAAAAGAGGTGTTAGCCCAGTTTCAGGCCACATGCGCTAAAAACACGGATCCGGATAAAAAAGTAATGCTCGATAGGACTTTGCAGCGTATGCAGGACGCCGTTGATGCCCTGACAAAGGCTGTGAGCAATGGGGACACAGCACGCATTGCTGAAACGCGGCGAAACTATTTGACTGAGGCAAAGGATCCCATTGCGGAGTGGCTAGATTTGAAGAAGGGCGCAGAGGTGAACGATAACGCCGTTTTTGAAGCGCTGCCTCGGTATTGGGAAGATCAATTTCACAACGATATGAGGTCATTAAACGTGAGTCATCGAGCTGAAAAAGTCAACGGCATTCGGATTAACTTTAATTTATGGTAATTGTAGATCTTGCCGCCAGATGTGCTTACACGTGTATCGGAATATGTACCACAGATTATACAATTTATACAGCGAATTATTGAAAATGGACTGGCGTATGCGGCAAACAACTCGGTCTATTTCGATGTGAGTGGTTTCGATAAACGTGAGAAACACCACTATGCGAAATTAGTACCGGAAGCATATGGCGACACCAAGTCGCTCCAAGAAGGTGAGGGTGATTTGTCTGTTGCCGAGGATCGCCTATCCGAAAAACGATCGGCCAACGATTTCGCTCTTTGGAAGGCGAGCAAGTCGGGCGAGCCGTGGTGGGACAGTCCCTGGGGTCGTGGACGGCCTGGCTGGCACATTGAATGTTCGGCAATGGCTTCAGACGTTTTTGGACCAAAGTTTGATATACACACTGGAGGTGTGGACCTTAAGTTTCCGCATCATGACAATGAACTGGCACAATCCGAGGCTGCATTTAATGAATCCGAATGGGTGAAGTATTTCCTACACACTGGACATCTCACAATTGCCGGCTGTAAAATGTCCAAGTCGCTAAAGAACTTCGTCACAATACAACAAGCTCTGAAAAAGCACAATGCGACACAATTGCGTCTAGCGTTTTTGCTGCATTCTTGGAAGGACACGCTGGATTACTCCGACAACACCATGGAAATGGCCACACAGTACGAGAAATTTCTTAACGTAAGACTATAATTAATGGAAATTATGATTCCTATTTATGTCCAATTTAAAACGCAGGAGTTTTTCTTGAACGTCAAGGACTTAACACGCCACGTTTTGTCCGACCAGCTTAGGCTCCAATTCGATGCGTGGACTGAGGTGGAAGCTGCATTACAAAAGAAATTTAGTGACGCTCAGGTGCAAGTCCATATAGCTTTATGTGGTTGGTATAGATAGGTCTCAAAGTCACTGGCAATTCTATATTCTCTGCTCTTTTCTTTCTAGATAACGTCGATACGCGCAGTGCTTTAGATGCCGTGCGCGAACTTGTATCGTCTTCTAATATTTATATTCGTGACAATAAGACGCAATTAAACAGCCTATTGCTGCGAAACATTGCAATATACATTACAGATTTGTTGCATATATTTGGGGCGATCGCTGGACCCCGTGGTGGCATTGGATTCCCTGTCACGGTCTCATCTGGTAGCAGTGCTACTGGTGCTGGAGTCGTAGACGCAGAGACAACTGTAATGCCGTATCTGGAATCCTTGGCCGAGTTCCGCAACCGTGTTCGCGAACAGGCCAAGACTATTAAAGCATTCGAGATATTAAAATTATGCGATGAACTGCGCGATATCGTGCTGCCTAATCTGGGTGTTCGGCTTGAAGACAAGGATGGAGGCAAGTTTGCCGTCAAGTTAGTCGATCGGGAATCGCTTTTGCGAGAGCGCGAAGCCAAACAGGCCGCTGAGGCGGAGCGTGCCGCCGAAAAAGAGCGCAAGAAGCAGGCTGCGGCCGAAGCTGCAGCAGCCAAGGAAGCGCAGCGTCGCATCGATCCACAGCGGATGTTTTTAAACGAAAAGGAAAAATACTCGGCATTTGATGAAAATGTATGTATGCCCTTAGTTACACTGAAGTGGCTTAAGAATATACTTTATTAAATGTATTTCAGGGTCTACCAACTCATGACATAGATGGCAAAGAGATTAGCAAAGGACAGCTTAAGAAACTGCAAAAGCTACAACAACAGCAAGAACAACGTTATAAAGAGTATTTGGCATCCATTAACGGATCCTAAAACAAAGCATTTGTACTTCCAATGAATAAGTTTAAGTATTTCCTACTCTGCCAATATCTGTCCTCAATACAAAATGTGAGTTCCACTCAATATTGAAATTAAAAATTCCATACAAATTTGTACAAGCCTAATTATTTAATCCGTTACAGTTTATAACGCATTATTTCGAAATGAGACTCCCCGCATAATCATTTTCATAAATAAAGCTGTACAAACTGAATCATCAGATTCGTAACCGTAAAACCGAAGTTATTTTTATTAGTTATTGTAATACTGGCAGTAAATAATATACTTGTGTGCTATTTATTGTTCTCTGAACAGCAGACCAGATCGGAAGTGTAATTGTAATCTAATAAATAACGCCAATAATGTCGCGTAAATGTTGTTTCTGTGTTAGTTTAAACTATGCAGCCGTTATAATAGGAATCCTCGAAATTCTTTTTTCTATATATATAATTCTCATTCAGAAGAATTTAAGTTTCGATCAAGAAGCGTTGGATGTATATGTGGGCACAGCATGGCTTGCTTTAATTCCCTCAATTTTGTTAATTTTCGGTGCACTTTTGGTAAATGTCAACCAAATTATGTTCTTCACCATGCATTTCAATTTTGACTTCTAGAAAAATAAATGTTTGCTGGCGCCATGGTTATTGATCGGAGGAATAAATCTTGTACTAAGGTTTTATATACACGCAATACAATTTAAAAGGGACTTTCAAAAAACAACAGATGCATCTGAAATAGATGGATATATTTTAGGATTTATATCCGACTCAGCTTATTATGGTAAGTTCTTTGATATCAGTTGGGGCATTTAAAAATGTAATGTATTTTCTTTCAGCTTTCCAATGCTATTTTTGGGTTATGGTTTACTGTCTTTATAGTCAAATGTGTCATAGCGTTAAAAGTGATAAAAAACAAATTTTGCCAATACCCGTATATTCTATATCACAAGAGGTTTATTCAAATCCAACTGTGGAAGTCGATGATTCCCATTTAAATAAATATTAATCGAAGTACTTAATTATTAATATTATAAATTAAATACTATTTTTAAATATTAATAATATTCATTATTTAAATTCAAAATACCAGTATTTGTAATTGAAATTTAGTCAACGAATAAAAATGTTCTTTAGCTACAATCATGGCCGTAGCGAAGAATGCAAAGCGAGCAAGGAAAGAAAAAAATTACAGAGAGAAGAAACATAGAATTAATTAAAAGCTTTTAAAAAAACAAACAAAATAAAATGGTATGGACAGTTCCGATGAGAGCATGTTGAGCATAAAACCCATCTAGATTTCAATAATTTTAAATCATGTAATTTGGGACTCACGATGTCGCAGTAAAAAATCGGGCCAAAAAATCATTCCACCTAGATTAAATCCTGGCCACGCCCATGGCTCCAATAATACCATACCCAAATAAAATACTTTTCTAAACTTGTGAGAAGTTATACTCGTAGCTTTTATTTTTTATACTTTTAAACTTTCAAACTGTTGTTTTTTTCACCATCCTGCCGAAAGTAATCAATTCTCCTGCTCATTGAAGTAAATTGAAATTTTCTATATATACTTGTAGTTTTAATTTTAAACAGCAATTAAATCTAAGATGGCATCTAATCAATACAAACTTATACAAATTCTAACTACTTACTAATTCAATCTTTGGCATATTTAACGTACTAATGAGTCTCTTGCCGTAAAATCAAACATCTAAGCTTGGTGTGCTTACAGGCTACCAATGTCATTATAGCGCTTTAACTTTTCGGGGAAATTATCTCTAAATAGAACTGGATCCGCTCTGAATTCAACAGTACGGAGTGGAATGCGTCCAAAAATCTTCGAAAATCGGTCAATACAGGCAGAACGTTCACGCATGTGATTCAAATCTGCTGAGAGCATTTCAGTATTGGTACACTCAGGGCATTTAAATTTCTTGCGGGGTGTTACTTTGATTGGTGGATTATTTGTTATGTTTGCCACAAGAAAGTTCATTGCAATATCTTCGCAATTCATGTGCTCATCTACCCACTGTTTTATGTCGCCTGGCAGGGCGTAAGTATACATGTGGCTCCAATATTTGTGATGAAAAGCAGCGCCGGTGAGCACCATAGATATTTGATTTGTCCACTCAGATTCGTAATGCCAACGCATGGTCACATTATTCCACATATGAATGCGACTAGGAAATCCCACTATGTGGTCGGGAAACTCGCGCCAAACTTCGTAACTAAGGCAGAATTTAACCCATTCCGATTAGTTGTAATGTTTACATTCACACAAAAAATACTCACCCAAAGTCTAGCTCGTCAGTCGTCAGCATTATTATATCATCATCTATAGTTAAAATCGCCTCAGTTTCAATTTCGGGATATGGAAAAAATCTGTTGGACAACTTATTTTCACTAGTCTGTATAATTTTAAGCGGTTTGGATATAGATGGGAATGTTGAAACTGCGTTAAAAAACGGAAATTAATATTTGTGAATGTAATTTAAGACTATATATACTGACGATGTGGTGGCATTTTACGTTGGTTGTTCCAAATAACGAGAATACTTTGCAACGAAGGCACGACAGCAAGCTTCTGAATTAAGAGAAATAGACTCTCTACGCGATCATATGTCAAAATGACTGCAGTAAAACCTTGTGATTTAGGGGAGAGGGAGGGCAAGAACAGAGGGTTAAACGTTGCGCGGCTATTGGTGCTAATGGCATTCCATTTTCGAATGCTGCGAGCCCGCAACGGAAAAATTCGACTCTCTAAAATTTCCAACGCTGTAATGGTTATGCTCCTCAGGTCCTTGAAATAGCTGTTGTAAAGCCACTGGACTTGTTTCTGCATCTCAACGACTTTTACATTAGATATAACGGAAAGTTTTCGCAGCACTGAGTGCAACTCGGATTCTCTGACACGCACTGTAGCCAATGACCAATCTATGGCGTCTTCGAAGGGCATTACATAGTTGTCAATTGCCACCACAGGAATACAATTTTGGGACATAATTTCGAGGAGATCTGGTTGGCCCATGCGCAAACTTCGACCCACAAGGCAAAATTTTCCTCTCGATAGTATGCGAGGGTATTCCAAATGCTTTTGATGATGAGTGCGGGTACAACGTAACGCCAAATCAGTCCCCTCACAGGGTCCCAGCATAAGTACCTGATCGGCATGCTTTTTAGATAGCTCTCGGATTGTGCGTAGATGTAGGGGCAAAAGATTTAACTGCGCTACAATAAGCAAATACTTCCGATCCCTGGAAAACTGGGTTGGTGGATGATAATGCTGCAGAAGCGGGCTCCAAACTGGAATAGAAACATCAAAACCAGGTCGATATGTCCAACTATCGAATCCGCCACCCAACACGACAGCATTATCCGTGTTGATGTCCAATACAGTATTGTATTCGGGCGCACTACCAGGCAGCATGTTGAAAAGTATGTGATTTTCGCCACGGTCCCAAAAATTTAGAGTTGCTAAAGCGGCACCAGCTAAATTCTTCTCAAATATGTTTTGGTTTAAAAGGTCCAAACTCGGCAAAAAAAGACAAGCCTGTTGAAAAAATACGCAAAAATAAAAATTAAATTGGAAGATTTTTATAAGCATTGAATAAATAGACCTATCTTTATGATCTTAAATTATTAACACAGAAATTTCAAAAGAAACGGACCTCGTTTGGATTTGATGTGTAGTAACGGCTCTTCAGCACTGCCTCCAGGATTTGAAAGTACTCAGCTGACAGCGTCGTTGCCACTTTCTCGCTCTTTTCATCCACAAACTCTTGTAATGGGTAGATGAACACCTTTAGCTTGTCATGCTCATTCTGACCACATTTGTAGATGTTAAGGCAATCCCAAAATGTGCAGTTCACATTACGAGCACGAGGCTGCTCGGAGTCTGACTCCAATACTACCTCCTGCGTGCGGGATAGGTCGAGCACCATGGTATCCTTTTTGTCCGACATAAAATTTTGAATGCTGGACACGTCCCACAAGAGCCAAATTCCGCATAGCGTAACAATTGTGAAAAGCGCGTAGGTTAAGCAGTTCAAAATTAGTTCCCTTGTATGGGGAGGACTTCGGGAGTGGTTTATTAAACACTTATTCATTTCCAACTTTTATATCCTATGTATACTGTTAATTAATCGGATTCGCGTCCCTCTGACAACTGATTCCCAGGGCTGGGAACGCCAAAACTATATGGTATCGATATATGACAATTTATATTTTACAGTGCTTGTTAAATAATAATATCGATTGTATCGAATCGCCTAGCCATCGGATCTGAGTCGAGTTTTAGGAATTATTCATTAACGATGTCAGAAATAATATCTGGCAAATCAGATTTTATAAAAGCCAATGTATCAAATTCCAAGAATGATGCAGTGGCTTTTGAGATGAAGTTTGCCAAAGATCTCACCATTGCGCAGCTAAAGGTAAGTATATTTGGTCGCAAATACTAATATGATTGACGCAAAAGGACAGCTGTTCGAATATATATACGTACATACATATGTTGTCGGCAGAGCAAATTGGAAATAATTACCGGTGGTAATGCTGCTACGATGAAGTTAGAACTCTATAATGGCGACCGTTATGTGTCAACGCTCGACAACAACGATGCAAAACTCGGCTTTTATATGCATTCCGATGGCTTGCGCCTGCATGTAGTGGACAGTTTCGCCAGCTTCGATGACGAGATGGTTCAAAAGTTTGAGCTCACTAATGAGCAGTACGAGCAGAAAAGGGATACAGTCCGCAATTTTTTGCTACAGAATCGCGTTGGAAAATACAATGAGGATGAAATGCGTCAGAGAGAAGAAAAACGTCGAGAACTAGCCGAAGAGATTCAGCGTAGAGCTGAACTTTGTGTTGTAGGTTCCCGATGTCAGGTACGAAATTGATTAACTTTTACCTCTTTATCTGGCTTAAACATTTTACTTGTTTCCCTAATGCACATTTAATTCAGGTAACTGTGTCCGGCAATCCAACGCGTCGAGGTGTAATTAAATATAACGGGCCACTGGATGGTAAAAGTGGCATTTTTATTGGAGTGCAGTACGACGAGCCATTGGGCAAGAACAACGGAAGGTACGTCAAATATTAATTCATAATTAATGGTTTGAAAAACTGGACATTTCAGCATTAATGGAAAGGCCTATTTTGAGTGTCCTCCCAATTACGGAGGCTTTGTGGCGCCGCTTTCCGTTGAGGTTGGCGACTTTCCCCCCGAAGACTTTGATCTTGATGATGAGATTTAACTTATTTTTATATATAATACTCACCCACAATTGCATATATCAAAATTTTTTAAGTTTGTTGCTAGTAACGAGTGCAACCAAATTATTTAGATAATACATTTTGCGTTTATTATTTAAAACATCTAAGTTTTTCAGATATTCTTACAACATGGTTATTAATAGGGTCTAGACTCCGCTTTATCATTTTGTTTATGCATTTAAAAAAAAAAACGAAATGATTAATATTGTTAACAATAAATACGTAAAACCTAAAATACCGACGTTACACATACATATGTATATTGTTTCCCTGCTGCAATACAATTTATTAATGGCTTAAATAAACAAATAAGGTGTGATACATACATACAGTATACGATATTTTATGTAAACTGTCCCCAAGACCATAATACATTTAGCATAAAATAAAATTAAACAATTTTAAATGACGTTCGCATCTTACAACATGTAGACTTATGGTTATCAGCCGTACATAAATGTATGCATGTGTGTATGTATGAATATATAGTTTTTTCTGTAGGTTCTTAAAATGTTCATGCACATGTGCATATGCATAAGCCAATTGCCCAATTTGATAAACTACATTATTCATAAACCATATAAAAAACGTGAAAAACGACCAAGAGCAATACTGCGTATTTAGTTGTTTATTTTATTATTATAAATTTCGTTCTGTTTTTTCAAACCTATTGAAAAAGTCAGGCAAGCACACTTATGCACACATGTATGTACATACATGTTAAGATTTGTGCAGATATACTTAATTAAAAAATTGTGTTCAAAAATAAAAGCAATTTAATTTGCAAGCATGATTTATATGTTTATGCCTATAGTATATCTCTGTTTATACATACATACATAAAAAGTATACAAGAGTTTTGAAAGGCTCCTTTTCTATCGAACATACAAAAGGAAAATCGTTTGTCGGTATGTATGTAGTTTGGCTGTAACTGGATGAAATCAAAGCGGAAACGTCTAACTTTATACGCAACATTAACATTATTTTTTGGCTGATGCCGAATGCCAATTGATTTTAAACCTAAGCTCATTGTAACTGTTACGTACGGTTTTATTTATTTTTTTCGAAACTCTTGAGTGTTATTTTTTTGTAGCCTTTGCCATAGAACATATGTATATATGTAAATCATCAAAGTTACGGCACAAGCGTCAACATGTTGGATTGAATAATTTTTGACAAAAATCATGCTCTGATGCAAATTTTGTCTATATATTTGTATAGAATGAGCGTGGAAACGAAAGTAAAACACACCTATTCATGTACGTTCTGTCATTATGTATATAAAAAGTCAAATATACATAGATACGTATACCGTAAACTGGCTTTGGGCTGGGTATACAACATTTTAACTACAATTAATATAGATGATCATAACTTGTACATATGTACATACATATGTATGTATGTATATGTAGTAGAAGTATTCTTACAAATGAAACAACCAGAGTTTTCGATTTTCTATTATTTTTCAGAATTTTCAGATTTTTGTAGATTACCAAGCAAAAGCTGTTGCTACATACACATAAATGCAGTTTATAGAGCATTTAATGCCTTTCTGTTAATGTCTGTTGTTTTTATTGAATAAAACTTGGTGTGTATATTTATGTAAGCGGGTTCGTAACGATCGACCGATAACGATTACCGATTAGTGGTTTTAATCAATGTGTATTTGTGTGTTTTGTTGTGTATGTATGTATGTGGTGCTTGTGTGATTATGCATATGTAGGAGATTTGTGTACTCGCCGTTATACATACATATGTAGGTTTATTTAATTCAATATGTTAGCTTTAGTTTAGATCAATGAATAGATGGATTAACTTTTTTATTATTTGAGATTCTACTCTAAAGTGTCAATAATGTAATGCTTCGCACAAATCCGATTATGGTGTCCATATCCGTGTCCGGTTTGCTTTGCCTCATTCCGTTCACTCCTCCCTGTTCTCATCCTTGACCGACAACCATTTAGAGGGTTGTGGTGCGCAACATTTCTGCATTTTGTTCTGTTTTTGGTTTGTCATCGCCGTTGGCCGCCTCTTGTTTATACTCCATTGTGCTTGAATCCTTAACTGTTGTTGATGCCTTGGCTACGTCCTTTTTATCAGCCTCCCCGTGCTTTGATGCTGTCAATTTCCGCACTATGAGGCTTCCGGTATTTTTGATGTTTTTCTTTAATTTGCTGCCGCCGCCACTACGGCTGCTACAATCCGATTTAAGATCTACCCCACCAGCTGCCCCTGATTCACCACCCCCACTGCCAGCAGCCCTTTCTTTACCAGCTAGCATATTTTCTTCATGTTTATCTTTTTCAGTTTCTGTTCTTAGCATGCTATCTTCTGTCTCCTCCTCTAAGATCGGGTTTATCGAGTTAAAGTCCACAAACATAGGTGTTGCTATTAATTCTGATGGGCACACCCCTGTACTTTCGTCCTGCTCCACACTCAAAGAGTCCTGAACGGTAAAATGATCTCGCATTGTTGCGCTGCTGCATGGAAGTGCCTGAAGTTCCTCACGAGACGAAACATTCTCCTTCGAACTGAATGGCGAGTACAAATGAAAGGCGGACAGTAGCGAAGTGGACTTTTTCTGATCTTCAGTAGCGCTGGCAGAAGATTTGCTTTTTTTGTGCCGTTGCGATCCCTGCTGGCTGGTCAGTGAACGACAGAGCAGTGATGTTTCAGAAAGTTTGTGGCTGCTGGTGCTGGTTTCTATGTGGCAAACAGTGGAGATGGTGTCTGGGTCGGCAACGGAGCCTGCAGCGGTGGAGCAGCCTTCGATCATCGTCTGGTTAAGTCACAGTCGTAGATCAAAAGCAATGCGAGACGCAATGTTCTTGAAGCCAATGCTAGTGCCTGCACAATATGCCGAAATGTAAGTTATTTGGGCTTTTTCAAGACAGTATAACTTACCAGAGATGCGCTTGAAGCGAACGCCATTGAGGGAGAGGCGTGGTAGTTTGCAAACCTCGATCTCCCACTGCACTAGGGAGTCCGTGTTGGGATCCCCATGCACACACCACAGAACAAATCTGTTTTAAAAAGTGAACCCATAAGACATGAGTTTATAAATTCTATTATTACCACATACCTTTCACGTTGCTCATAGTCGCAATTGTTTTGATCAAGTACCTCGCGTATCTTTTGCATTATCTGATCAGGCATTAGAGGCGATGTTGTCTTCATCGACCAGGTGAAGCGCAGAACACGCGGCTTAGCAGCCTCTTCTGTTGTTGATGTACTGAAAGTATCAAACATGATTCAACTATGGAACAAAGATGCATTTAAATTGAAAGAGCAATCATTTCAGATAAGCGCAGTAATGCCAAAAACCCACATCGCTTGCTAAGAAAATAAATGTGAACTGATTAAAATTTGTCTTTGTTGCAATAATATACATTGGTAATTTAAAATTATAAGTCTTACTTTACTTTGCATCTAAAAAACTTCATACTCAGAAGGTTTGCTAATGAAAAACAAATAATTAGATCCCATTTCCATTTCGGAAACCGACAAAACTATGAGGATTTGAATTTAAAATCGCAAAATCTTAAATATCAATTAAATTAACTAAATCTTGTTCAATTATTTTTCGAAAAAATATTATATATACGAGATGGTATAACAATTTAAAAATGTAGGATAACTGTCCCCCTCTGAAAATTTACATTGCCTTTTGCCTATGCATTTTTTAAATAAATGCAGTACTTTAGTAAAAAGAAAAACCTAACCTGCCTAGGGGAACTACAACATCAAGTTTGGTTATTCTAGCTCTTGTACTTCCTGATATCCTTGCGCTCAAACAGACAGACAAACAGACGGAGGGGCAGACATGGCTATATAAGTACTCTTCTTTTCATACTGATCAAGCAAAAATATATTTTTAGGGGCCTGACACGCGTGCTTCTATGTATTCAACTAGTACTTGTATACAGCCTTTGGGTACAGGCCATAAAAACACTTCAATTCGATGCACATATACACTACTAAGGGAGGAGCAGAAAAAAGAAACTCGGAATTTTTGGTTCATTTTTTCTCTCTGAAAATGTCCATAGCATTTATTATGGATTGATTAATTTAATTATCAATTTATTTAATTATGTGTTATTTCTTTGAAACTTAATATGCATAACTACTAATCGGGCCGGTGCAGGGCCTGATAACACGATTTAAAGATTATCATCTGTACAAATAAAATGGTCACATGCACAAGATTTAATACATATACATAATTTTCATCTTGATTTAGGAGTAATTCGTTTTGACAACTAATTGGTATGCTTAGAATGCTAAATACGCTCTGATTTCTGCGCTTCGACTTCATATGCGATTGATCATTATTATGTATATCATTGCAAGTTCGGTATTTTCAATTCTGATTGTATGTTTCACGGATTCAATTAAAATACAATTACATTCATACATACATATACAAATATTGCTAAATAAATTTAAGATCATAGATACAAATTCTCGCAACCGCTTTTTAAGTCATCGGTTTTACAATATGGTATTTCTCTTTCTATTTCTCATGTGAATTTTTAATCGCTGTTTTTTCAATTGTGTTCGTAATAAATATACATACATACATATTTGTATATAATTTAGGTAATAACTAAAATAGCAATGCGTAGTTAACATAAATATTTTAGGTAGTATGTATTTAGTATTAAAACATAATCCGCAAACGCAACAGGACAATAATTGATTGGTTTCTAATTGTTAAATATTGCAGTTTTTAATTTTTATATCAGCATTAATTTTACAAAAAAAAAAAAAAATAAGAAAATCTATTTAGTATGTATATTTATATGTTGTTGATGTTGATTTGTAGCTGTTGCTCATTTGCTTCTAAACATATTTATGTATTTTCATTTATATAAATGTATAGTTGTGTATAATTAGATAATAATCGTAATAAAACATAGGCGCTTTTGTGAATTTCTGTTAAAGCAATGCAACTCAACGTCGTTGGTGTTCTTGTTTGGAGGGGGTACGAATCGGATTCGGAGCTAATTGCTCGGACCTGTATCCAGATCCGGATCGTATCGACCTGATTTCGGATCTGTTATCTTTCTGATCTGTATCTGTGTCTGTATCATATCTGTATCTCTCCGTCACGCGCGTTTACTCTAGAGGGAATCGTTTGTTTCAGTTTTAGAACTATTAACAAGGAATAGTTAATGTTTGTTTGTTAATTACTGGTTTGGCCTAAAATTAAAGAAAAAATTTTAAACAAATTATTCACGGCTGGAAAAAATATTAATAATGGGTAAAACAAATACGAGTAATGAAACCAAAGAAGATAGTAAGACAAAAAAAAAATATACGGAAAAATCACGAAAAATTCGTCTGTTCATTGAGTTCATTGAGAAAGAAAAGAAAAGTAAACGCAATCTTTTGTAGATACTAATTTAATTATGATACAATAGCAGTTTATCAAATTAAATATCATAATAAAACAGCATATAGTATATATATTTATTTGTTTTAAATGAAGTAAAAAGAGACGAGAACAACAAAGCTTTCATAATAATAACGGTGGGGGTGATAATGGAGTAACGTAGATTTACAGGAGACTGGAGAGCTACATATAGTAAGTAATTATTGGGGTGTGACGGAGAGCGCGGAGAGCGACCAGGAGACCAACAGAGCTTTCATTAAAACATTTGTTTTTATTTTCAACCTCTTTCTATATATTTTAGCCAAGATCAGTTTATAGTACAATATCGAATATTTAGCAATCAGTTGCATATGTATGTATGTATAGTTTTGTAAATATTAGTCTTTTAACGGAATCTAGCTTTAGAACTTGCAGTAAAAAGACTGTGTACTCTGTGTGTTCAAGCCGAGCTTTATCTTTACAATTGAGCTGCACCAACTGCCTATAACTGAGTGAGATAGAATGGGTATATATTTATATATATACGTATACTACGTATATAGACTTACAAAGTACATAAGTATGCATGTAGGTATGTATGTATGTATGTACATATATATAAAAAGCATGCGTCGTCGACCATTTCAATAATCTTTTTTATCTCATCTGAATTTGCATATGCACGCTATATATTTATGCATATATGTATATGTGCATTTGCCAATTCACACTTAATTCAAAACATTGTGGGCATATGCGTGACTGTGTATATGTGCGCAATCGTTCGTGTATCTGTGTATCTACATACATACATATGTATGTACAAATACAATTACGCGCGTTCCTTGCATAAAATATTTTCATTTCAGCTCAAATAAATAGAAATTAACATAAACAGAAATGTCAAATGTTAAAGGTATACATATAGTATATACATATATATACGTGTTTATATGTATGCTCTTTAGTGCAAGTTAAAAATAACAAAAGTGTAATAGTTAATAAATAAAATATAAGTTATTCCAACAAATTTTTTACTTCATGCAATCCAATGTAAATGCTTTTTTTCTTGATCGATATTTATATATTTAAGTATTTTTGTTTTAGGGCGAATCGCAATTAACAAATTGTTAGTAACGGTTGCGGAAGGGAAAGGTGCTCCTACATCTATAACTTCAAAGCTTGGTCTTAGCATTGTTAAGGGTAAGGGAATTGTTTGGAGCTGTGGGACTCTCTGGTCAGACATAATTTATGAATGCTCATACGACCAATCTATGTTTAAAGATTAAAGCTCCTGTTACGCTCTCTCTGCCCATCTCCCGTATTTAAACACCATTCCCTAGCACTAAATGCATTTTTTAAACTTCTTAAATCGCATGAAAAAGCAACCAAAAATGTATGTTAGGCATTGCTTTTAAGGAATCTAATTGAAATTAGCTTAATAATATGAACACAACACAACATCATCTCTGCCTGTATAAGAGGTTACTAAAAAAATAGTTTCTTCGACATCCATTTTGATTTTCAGGAATTGAAAATACCCTCATTCAGTTTGTACATTTATGAGGTGCCGTAAAGAGACTGATAAAAGAAAACTTATCCCATAAATGAGTGCAGAAATGGGTGCATTACTTTAAATGTGCTAGATAAGTCTCTTGTAATCAAAAATAGTTTTAAATTGCTTTTAAAGTGTGCAACATTTGAGATATGTGTTCTATAGTTTCTATAGAATATTGAAAGTTTTAATTATTGGCAATATTTGAGGCAAGAAACTGAGAACATTCGAATATGACATATTTTGCGCAAAAAGAAAGCTAAAAACGCGCCTGTAACCGCAATATACGATTTGCTGTTGTTGCTTACAAAATTGTGCTCATAATGGGCGTTGCATTGTATTTTTGGTAGCAGCAGGTTTGAGCTTTGCGTCTCGTTTAATTATGCATTTATGTAAAAGTAGTACATACAATATGTATATATATATATACATACTATTATAGATGGAAAAACGCGTTTGCTACAAAACTTACACACCAACATATAAATACATAAGTATGCGTATGTGTTGATATGCAAATGAGATGAAACATAAAATGAAATTAAAACAATATTAATTTTAAAATTGTAAAGAACAAAACTCAAAATGAAACGAAAATATAATACAAAAATTAAAAACTAAATTAAAACGAAAATCGAATTTAAACTGCATTTGCTTTTCTTGTAGTATTTGTTAAACCAAGAAGTGGAATTGAACATTTTTGCCAGCTCTAAGCAATTTTTACTTACCGTTTGCTAAAACGTGACGATAGCTTGGAAAAGAAGCTCATGCGACCCGGATGGGGTGAATCGCCAGATGCGCCACTTGTTCCCGAGTATTCCAGCGCTGTGTTGTTTCGAGCTCTGGTTTGACCTATTTGGGATATAATTGGAGATTATTGAAACGCATGCCCAAGCCCATATATAGAATTATGTTTCTTTTTTACTTCATTTGTACTAGCCTACAAAACGAAGAAGTGCTAAATTCTTCAGGATACATATGTATTTTCAATCTGATGAAAAAATCGTAATGATTGTGCTATCTTGCATAAAAAGTTGTATTTATTTTTGGATTAAGCTAGAAAGACATTATTTCATATCACTAAAAAAGAGTTTAGCTAACCATTTATTTATGTATATACCATCGGGAATTTATTGTGTAAAGTTTGACATAATTAAAACGGATTCCAATTTCGAATCCTATGACTTACCAAACATATCAGAATCTTTAAGAACAGTAGACTAAATAAACATTTGCATTCGTAAATGTATGTGGGGATTATTATTTTATTTTAAATAACTCTTCACACTTGCTTTCCAATAGCATATACATATATATAGGAGTATTTAGAGTTTAGGGTTTAAATAATATCCATTTAGTTTTATATAGGCATATATGTTATCATAAATCACGACGAGACGTATTGATCTAGTTATATCCGGGTCCGTTAGTCCACAGCTGCGTCAATCGAAACCCCACTTCTTTTAAGAACAAACGCTTTTCCACCCAAACGACATATAACAACATAATTTCAAAATATTTTTTAAGCTGATGTAGATCGGACGTCCATTTAATTATAGGTAGTTCCTATGTAATGCTAAGCTTCGGGGAAAACCGAAGGTATCGTCTTCGCGGGATTAATTAACTTTAATTATGAATAGTTTTTTAATCTGCATTTTACATTAACCGATTAAAAAGAGCCTTGAATGCATTTATGTATAGACAGATTAATGCATTGGGCAGATACTTATGAATACACATCCTACAAAAGATTTATACAAGTATAACAAAACTTTAAGCATTCTTCAACTCAGACAAACGTGCAGGACTCGAATCAATGAATTTTAAAAAAACATTGCAGAAATGAAAAGCCATGAAAAGAATACAAGTATAACCACAAAGCACGACAAACTAAAGGCACATCCAACTAATCACGAATTGATTGAATGACAGTACAGATATCGGATTGATGATTTTGTTTTTAAGTTGCTTTTTGTTTTGGTTGATAAATAAAAATGCAAATGGACAGAATTATCAGAATCGATTGAATCACATGAGGTAGACATGCAGGAGAACAGAAAGCTCTCAGCAAACTGAAGCAGCATGGCAGTGGTTCGCCTTTGATCTTAAAATTAATACCAAATAAAATACATAACTAAGTTTCCTAAATATTATTAATTTATGATAACGAGATGCATATTTTCGTTTTAGATTTTTTTTCCATAAAGTTTGCGATATAAATTAAATTATTACATTGAAACTAATAAAAATAAGTGAACAGAAAACTCACCAGAGTGAAAGGTTGAACGTGATGGAACATTCCTCGGAAAGTGTCTGCTTGATTTAACAGCCGATGCCATTCTAAGTCGGTCGAACAGACTATATATGTATGTACAAATTGACAGTACATATACACGCGCACGAATGAATGGAAATCGGATCGGATCGTATCGGATAGTTCGTCGGAGTATAATCAAATCCAATGAATCGCATTTCAAAAAATGAATATGTTTCAAATCAGTATAAAGTTTTTCAATTTGTTAATTGTGCAGAGTAGTGTAATCGATTTGGAATCGTTATTATAATCGTTATTGTTTTTGGTTATCGATCGTAGGTCGGTTTGCGTCAGATGCATGTTTTCACAGTGGCATTGGCATCGGTGTTCAGTTGATGTGTGAGCGTGATCGTATGTGTGTATATGTACGAATACATGTAAGCGATGAGTAGTGCAGCCCGTTATGTCGATATTATTCGATCCGTTGCACGACATAAGGTTTTCGATTGGTTGACAAAGTTTTTAATTTATTTTATTATATTATTTATTTATTTTTGTTGTTTTTGTAATGACGACATGTTAAGGGCGGTTACAAAGCAGCGCGTTTCAAGCAGTTGTGGTTGAATTTTTTCGATGCAATAAGTTGATAACGGAAATCAAAGGTTTATATTTGATTTTTTTTTTTGTAATCACGTTGTAGACATAAACAAAATGAAAAGAAAAATAAAAGAAAAATATATCATGTAAAAATTCTGGAAAAACAAGCACTTATCTAACTTATATGTTTTTTTAAAGCTAAAATAAAATATAACCAATTTCATAAAATTAAATTGTTTAGGAAAAATGGATGAAGAATTAGTGGCATGGCAAGTCGACGACTTTACAAAGGGATGATCACTTTATAATGATTAACAACAAATACATAAATATGTGTACTTTGCATATTGAATAGGTTAATGCAGTAGATGATGAGGATCGAAACTACAAAGGTTAGCAGCAACATGCTAAAGATTGATAACCTGACACTCAAATGAACTATTATTAGTATGTATTTTTGTATGTATATTTAGATAAACACATACTTATATATAGTACATTTACACATATGTAAGTACGATTAGATTTACTTTTGGACAGCCCTATTTTTACTTTATGTGGTTATGAAGATATTAAATACATACATTTATACCGGACATATGATCAACAAAGTTTAAAAAAATATTACAACAGAACAGGCGAGAGAGAGAGAGAGAGATTGAGAGAGTGGTGTGTAAGAGAGAGTTTAGGGCAGACTTTATGTGCTTAAAGATAGACTCGTCCACTTATTGAAACATTTATTAGTTTTTTATGGCACAAATATAAAACTCAGAAATTAGGCAGATATGATAGAAGCATTAAATGTGCATGCCTCTGGTCCCATAGAAGGAAGTATTACTTGAGAATGCACAGATTGGCATACAATTGTGAAATTATCGAAATGGGATGAAACAGAATGTTTGAGGAGCAATGACATTCAATTGAGGTTTAAAAGCTTTTCAACACACTCGTATAACATTCTTATTTGTTTTTTCTTTTTGTTTTAATTATATGAAATGTGTATACTACAAAAAATAAATGATGAAACTGAAAAAACTGAAATGAATTTTAATGCCAGTTAACATGCTTGTAAACAACACAAGAAAGATGTTTTTATCTAACGAAATTCATAAATATATATATTGCTTGATTTTTTTAATGCAGATACTAATCAAAAACTATTCACTCATTGATCAGGTTAGAATTTCTTTCCAAAACCCAAAAAACTTGAACAGTAAAAACTAATACGCTTTTAAATACTGCACATTGACGTACATGTCGTCGAAATTAAAGAGCACATCATTTTTTAAAATGCAGAATATAACGCCCATATACTAGATGTATATAAATATATATATTTATTTGCGTAGGGGCGCGGCGAGTCACACTTATTTAGGTAAATCTCATTAAAGGTTATCAGTTCTGTTCAATTTTATTCGGTAAGGTTGAATTGAAATTGCAAAACTTCGCATTACGTATATTTTGTGTACATTGCCGCGCCCCTTTCAGATAAGGCACATAAAAAATCTCTTAATCATATTATATTGCATTTTCACTCACCGAAGTTTGTTCGTTTTCGTTTCGAATCGAAATTTGATTCGATTTGGTTCGAGTTTTAACCAAATTCATTTTCATTTTCAATTCAATTAAGATTGGTTTGTGTTGTTTTTGTTATAGTTTTTTTTTTATGTAGGTGTGTGTGTTTTAGATTAAGATTGATTTGAGTTGGGTTGGTTTGTCGAATTTTCAGTTTGCGTTTGCATTTATAAACAAAAGGTAGTAGTAGTAGAGTAGTACAATAATTAAACGAACGTCGATAGGAAGTCAGAAGGTTGTTGTAGATTTTTCGTAGGTGGTGGGCGTGTTATTGGTAGTTGCGGATATTAAACGCCACAAGGAATGGATGTATGTAGTAGTGTAGTAGTTATCAAAATTAGACATTTGGTTTGTAAACAGACAATGTTCAAAATTGTATAAAACATGAAAAGATAAGAAATTTACATTATTCAATTGATCAAATTGTTAGATCGTTAAGATGAAATAGTATCAAGAACAAAACTAACAACGACTATATCTTTAAATGTACAGCACAAATAGAGTATTAAACAAAATAGATACATCGTAAATAAACGCTACAAATATTGTAACACATATATGTATAACGATACGAAACGATACATATATATATATATATATATATATATATATATATATATATATATATATATATATATATATATATATATATATATATATATATATATATATATATATATATATATATATATATATATATATATATATATATATATATATAATGTATGTACCGGTATTGTACGTCGCTTTACGAGGACTGTATCGAAAAGTAAATCCGTCAATGTCAATTATTTTAAATGATATTTAGCAGATCGCTTGGAGCACGTCATATAAATAAAATAGGATTAATTTAGGTAAACGTGTAGACCCTTAACCTTATTTTAATTGCGTATTTAAATTTCGTTTCAGTCCTTGTATTAAAACAATTAGATTGGGCATCAAAATAAACAAATTCCTAATCTTTTTTAATAGAACATAGTTATGATTGGATTGAAGTATCATAAACGAACAATTTTTGAATATAATGTATGTATGTATGAAGATTTTTTTCTGGAATAATTAAAACTGTTGTTGTTTTAGTTTTTTTTTTTTTTTTTTTCTTAGGGTATCCTTCTTTATATATAGTATAACGATGAATAACTATTTAGTGTTCTAGTGCTTTGCATTCGAACTATGTGACAATTATGAAAGCAATCTACTCTATGAATGTTTAAAATCAAGAGTTGCAGTTCCCTATAGTGATTAGTATGTATAGGCATGTATTATGAGTGTAGTAGTTCTTATTCTTGGTTCCATTGCACTTGATGAATAGAGTCCAAAAACTAATCGTCCCTTTACAAACAAAAAAGTAGCAGCCAATTTTTTAAATTCACGAAATCAAAAATGACAATAATCATATTATAATAAAGTAACACAATCTGTTGGGGGTAACGAAAAATATACAGAAATGCGTTTAAGTTTTGCATTGTTAATTTTACAATTAGTGTATACCTCGTTCCGAGTGGGTCGTTTGATACTGAGACGCATCCGTCTGTTGAGGGGCGAGGACTTGAAACAGACGCGCTTTTAGTATGACCCTTCCCAGCAGGAGCTGTCGATCCACTGCTGGTTCACAAATGAATGGTCGTGGCAGAGAGTTGTAGAATTGTAAATTGGTGGATTGTATGTATTGGTATTGGATTTAGTTTTGGTATTGATTTAAAAAAAAAAAAATACAAAAAAAAATTGGGAAACCAAAGGGTAAAAGGAAATTTCGCTCAGTGCAAAATGCACCGCAAATAAAAGATACATATTTAACTGAATAGTGCATAATTTAACGTCACAGTACAATATAATAAACCATACTAGACTCATTAGTATAGCACAAAGGCCTTAACTTCTCACACTGTTTGCTTACTTGTATTATGCGTGTTTTATTTTTGGTAGCCGTCTTGTGGATATTGTGCAACTCTAATATGAAAACCGAGGAGAAATAATAAACTAAGGAACACACATTCTACTCACTGGTTATACTGAAAGGCTGACTAATGACAAGCTGCATTATTCAAATGCAGCCAATTCAGAAGCACTATGCGAGAATTAATCTTAACCAAAATTTCCGACACTTTCATTAAAATAAAATAACAGCAATACAATTTAGACTAATTGTAACGAAACAAGGTACGCATAACGTATACAACTGAGATGCCGATGGCAACAACGGTTACGTACTTTGTCTCTGCAGGAATAACATTTGTTTTTTCGGTCGACGAAGTCTTTTCATATAGCGTGGTAGAGCGTCTTGGCATAATGCCGCTGGTGCCGCTAACCGTGCGATTGCCATTAGTTGGATCGTACTTCGCAGTTGTGCGTGGCTTCGCAGGGCTATTCAACGCTGCAATTGTAGAAACATTTTATTAATAATAATACATATATTCAAATAAATATGGCAGTTGTGTCTCTCTTACATGTGTCTGGCGTTGTGAGCATTTTCTGGGTGGCTGACGCTGGTCTCTGGTTTTGTGCGGCCAGTCGAGCCGTATTCTCCTTAATCGTTGCGGAGTCGATGGTGTTTTGCCGTTTAAAATTGCTGCCCCTACGTGAAAAAAAATACAAATTTCAATCATAATGTCCTATATTGCATATTCCAACTAAAGTTTATTTAATGAATGCGGTGCCACATTGAATAACTTATTATATATATATATTTGTTCTATAATGCGGGTCATTAAAAGCTCGGAAAAATGTTAAAATGTTATTTAATATTGTATATATTTTTAATATATTGTCCGGTATTTTAGTATTTGTTATTTAGAGTGTCGAGAAGGTATATTCTTTAGTTTGTTGTAAAAGAAAGCCTTTGAGAATAATTTATCTTACTAATTGTCAAAAATACACATACGAATTTCCTCTGAGTGTAAATAAAAATGTTTCTTGGTTTATAATTGTTTTCTGATATTATTAAAACAAATTAATGATTAATATTTTTTAATCTCAATTAAGATGTTGCAATACTTTTAAACTATCTGATTTTCATGTGATATCAAAAGATAATATAGCATCAATAAACTAGTGAAAAAGCTAAAGTCGGGTGTCCCGACTTTGAAATACTCTGTACATATGTTTACAATAATTATAGAAAATAAAAAAAATTAAGAAAATTATATTTATGGCTATAACTTCTTGTTAAATCGGTCTATCATAGTGAAACTTGGCATACGGACACATAATAACTGGGGGTATTTGCAAACTTTTAGTTCGAAATTCCAAGAATTACGGGAGTTGGGGGATTTGCGGGGGAGAGGGGGGAGGGAGAAAATTTACACAAGGCATCTTAGACTAAAATTTGGTGTTCCTAGGTCTTATAGTCTCTGAGATGTAGGCGATTATACGAATGGAAAATCGGGAAAACCCCCATAGGGGGGAAGTGGGGGGAAAATCAAAAAAATAAAACAAACTCGTATATCGTACACACATAAGGCATCTTTGTGCAAGATTTGGTGTCTCTATCTCTTATAGTCTCTGAGATCCAGGTGTTCATACGGACGGGCAGACGGACAGACAGACAGACAGGGCTAGATCGACTCGTCTCGTCATACTGATCAAGAATATATATACTTTGTGGGGTCTGCCACGCCTTCTTCTGCCTGTTACATTTTTCAGCTCCCGCAAACCTAATATACTTCTGTACATTTCATGTACAACACAACAACACTTACACTGATGCGCGCTCCGCTGCTGATCCTGCAGCATTATAATTGTTGCTGGGATTGACCGCGCCCGCAGCGCCCGCTGTGGCTGCAACGGGTGTGGTTGTGTTTGCGGGACCAACGCCTGAAATGAAAGAATTGAGCATATATTACAAAACTTGCCACAGCATACATACGCAATGTTTCCGCACCAGACGAGGCTCGGCGACTAGGTTTAGTGCTCGATGCCGAAATACTTCTGTGGACGCCGCGGTGTGTGGGACTCTGCACGACCGAATTGCCGGCATTCGCGCCTGCATCGTTACCAGAAATGTTGCGAAGCGATAATGATGAGCCAGATCGTGAACCATCGCTTTCCGGCTGCATGAATCCAATAAAAAAGAAAACAATTCATCGTATTTTACCTAGATCTCGTACTACTCGATCCACTTACATCAGTGCTCTTTCGTCCCAGTAGCAAGTATGTGGCAAACACATCGTCGTACCGCACTTGTGAGAGCGATGCCTCAATCTCTTGCCGATTGTAACCCATAGCGACTAGGGCTTCTGCATTATGGATATACATATATTGCAAGAATGACAAATGAGAGGAATTTAAACAGTGTTGGTGACATCAAATTTGTAAACAACATCAATCAATCCCATATAAAATATTAATCAGTTAATTAAATAGATATAGAGATCCCAAGTTCCATTCCAAAATAGCCACACACAACATGCAGGCCCTACAATTTATTTAACAATCATTATAGCTTTAGATATTTGCAATAAATTATACAGATTTCATTGAAGACTTCAAACAAATCAAATAAAAATTAAACTTCAATTTAAATAAATGCTCAGTTCAAACTTCAAAGAACGTCAACTTAGACGCAATTCATTTCATAATAAACCGGTATTTTTATAGCGGTAACGGTACTCGTACCTATGCTAATTAGAATTAATTTATTTCGAGATATGTACCTCAGGGACAGGGACAGGGACGCAAACCAGCAATATTTGCGAATTTAATTAGCATACAATTTCAACGAAGATTGCTAATTTTTAGCTTAAATTGGTATAAATAATATATAAATTTACGTTGTCCATGCATACATACATATAGTATGTTCTAGAGTGTGGGATTAGCTCTTTGCATACCACTAACAAATAAATCCTCGACATCAGAGATATATTAAAAGTAAAAGTAATAAAATGAAGCTTCTATCTCAAATCAATAAAGCGGTCTGTACAGATATGCCTCATACCTTGGTTAAAATTAAAAAATAAACTTGTACCATTTGAATGTTAACAAAATAAAAGTAAATATTGCGCATACAAACAAAAAAATAATTATAATTTAGAATTGATGGCCACACCGTTAAGTTAGCTCTTTTATTTTCATTATATTTATTTGATGAAGTGTAAAACATAAACTTAGTAAATGATAATTTCTTGCTTCTATGTTTTTGTCTTTGATTTAACGTAAGCAACGTAACACAATATAGCATTAATAGGCTATGTCCCATTACACTTATTCAGGCTGCCTCGTTAAAATGATTGTAAGAAAACGGTACGGTTTTATTTCTCTCATATATAGTACTGTACCTAATAACATTATAAGTACATATAATACAACTAAATCAACGTAAAAATTCCCATAGAAAGTTGGACAAGAAAGGTGTACAATAAACAGCTCCGCCTGTTTTTAGTCCGTTTTGTTGTTTTCTTGATCTCGTATGTTAATCTCTTCGTTGTTGTTCTATTTTTTGTTTTTTTTTTTTGAGAAAGATGTTAAGCAGATAGGTAGAAGACACAGAAAGTGAGAAAGAGAAGAAAGGGTAGCAATTAATGAAGAATTTAGTGTGCCGTCCCAGAATCATTTATTTAAATAAGATTCCTACATTTTGGACTGAAGCACTCCCTTCTCCGATTAGAATTTTCACCATTAACATCAAATTAAATGCACTGCGCTGAATCGAAAACGCATTTTGTGCACCGGTACGTATCCCCGCTGCATTTGAAGAATATACAAATATATATAAATATATAGCTCAAATATGAAAACTTATTCTGTGCGATCGTACATACAGGCCCTGTTTACATATGAAGTGGAAAACGCGTTTCATAAACATATTTCGGAAATTTTTAAAATTGAAACTACGGATAAGATATCGCATCACATGTAAACCGAGCCACACTTGGACATTATTACAACACATAAAATTAAGGATATCGGATTAGATTTTCTCTACAGCTACGACAGATAAATTTTCCGTGTACCGAAATTTTTAGTCCTGAGTCAGCCATAGCTCATAAAAAATCATAAAATTAATTACAAAATAAAAAATAGTTGCGGTTAAAGGATGCGGAAATTTTAATTCAGCATTTAAATCAAACAATATTAAATATTTTTGATGTTTGGTAATTCGTTCGTTTGAAAGCTATACATTAAATTAAAAATAATTAAACAACGCATGTAGGAAAGTTCATTTTAAAAAAATCACATAAGCAATTACATAAGAATTAAATATTTCTTAATTATAATAACAACAATAATAACATTTATCAGGCAACTCCACAACATTTTCGTTAATAATATTAGTAATGAATTGCGTATACAGTACCCGTCTTACCTATCCGCTTGGGATCGGCTAAATCTTGTTTTGGCTCTATATACGGTTTCAGTTCGTCCTCTTCAAACCCCATGTTCATCCATTTATCGCCCATGATTGTTTCAAGACTAGCACGCTTGGCGGGGTTCAGTACCAAAAATTTGCGCAGCAGATTTTCGCAGTCAGTCGACATATAAAAAGGGATTCTATAAAAAATAGTAATCAATCAGTTTATGACTCAAGGACATGCATTTTAACATTTTATTTCGTACCTATATTTGCCTCTGAGTACGCGTTCGCGCAGCTCTCTCAAGGTCGAACCGTCGAAAGGCAGGGAACCGCTCACTAACGTATACAGTATAACACCCAATGACCAGACGTCTACTTCTGGTCCATCATATTTTTTGCCCTGAAATAACTCTGGCGCCGCGTATGGTGGACTTCCACAGAATGTGTCAAGCTTAGAGCCCGGTGTAAACTCATTTGAAAATCCGAAATCGGCAATTTTTATGTTTAATTCACTGTCCAGTAACAAGTTTTCAGCTTTTAAGTCTCTGTAAGTGCAATATTTTTGGAAATTCTTTGCATGTAATTATTATTTTATTGATTACCTGTGTATAATCCTCTTTTGATGGCAGTATTGCACAGCCGAAACAATTTGTCGAAACTTAACGCGCGCTTCCTTTTCCTTCATGCGTCCGTGAAGTACCAAATAGTCGAACACCTCGCCGCCTGATGCATATTCCATAATGAGATACAATGTCTTCTCCGTTTCGATTACTTGAAACAGTTTCACAATATTGGGATGATCAAGCATTTTCATTATTCTAACCTGTTAAATCGTGACCATTATAATATAGGAAAATCGAACATATGTGTGACTAAATGACTGACCTCTCTAAAAAGTTTCTGTAGTGACCCAGGATTCAGTTGGGTTTTGTCAATAATCTTTATTGCCACTTCCTTGCCAGTGGGCAAATGCTTTGCCAGTTTCACCTTTGCAAAGTTTCCCTTGCCGATCGTCTTAATTAGTTTATACTTGCCAATGTGCTCCTCGGTTGCGCGCCATCTCATCGGTGCACTACTTCGCATCTGCAAATTCGGCGAACCCTAAAAAAAGAAGGAAAAGCGATATTAACATTTGAATCTTATTTCAGGTGTAAATGGTTGCGCGGGGCATTTTTATATAAAAGTAGCTTCTAATATTCTCCCCCAATCGGACTACATATGTTTTCGTTTAGTTCGCATCACAGTACGTCTTCGATATGATTAGATGGGTATATATGATGTGATTGATTTGAGCAGTTTACCTGGGCAGCAGTGTTGCTGTACACATTGCTGCGATTGGCAGCCACTGCAGGTGCGACCCGATGATGACCCGTCGCTGTGGCTGCCGGTCTTTGGTCAGCCGTTATCGAGCGCGCTGCTGCTTCACCGCCGGAACTGGAATTGTATGGTGGTATGGGCGCCACAATGGGGCGCTCTATGCGTCTCCGGGACGAAGGAGTAGCACTGGAACCGGACGATGATGCACTGGACGTTCCCTGACGATTGTTGGACTTTTGTGCCAACAGCGCTTCAAATTGACGCAAATTCTCCTCGCGGCGTTTTGCAGCCGATATTGTCGTAGCCGTCAATTTGGATGAGGTGCCACCATCTACAACGCTGCCACTGCCGCTTACCTTGCCACTAAGGCCTGAAGAATAGGCACCGGTTACAGAACTTCTAGATGCCGGCGTAGGAGCAGCCTTTGTCGTTGTAGATGTCGATGGGCGCCATGCATGCTGTTTATCGTCCTGGTGCTGCTTATGCTTGAGTGTGGCACGCATGGCCAGGACAGTATCATTATTCTTCGTATCGGATGCAGTGCGCGCCAACTTTGTCTTTAGGGAGCTCGCTGTTCCGGGCGTTGCTGATGTGTTCTTTGAATAGGCACCAATTGAGTTCCGCCCATCGCTACCACGCTGAAACTCTGAGAGCATTTGCTCATTGCTGTCGTCAAACTCAGCACGCCGTCCGCCCAGATATTGAAAATCATTCTCTGAGGACATATCGCTAATGCCCGGTCGCAGCAGATTCTCAGTTTCGCCATAACGTTTGCTTTGCTTGCGCATTATTTCCATTTTCATCACATCCATGGACGACTGGGACTGCTGCTGTTGCTTCTCGGCCAGCTGTTGTTGCTTAAAGCTCTCCTCAACGTTGTGGATATGCTTCTCTATAGAGCCCAAGGCGAATGATACGCCCACATCATCCTCGGTGGACATGACAGACATCGGTTTTGCAGAAGGATGCCCAGTGTGCAGCGTTGGCATTGCCGAGACAGCGACACGGGGGGGCAGAGGTGCTGCCAAGAGACGTAGCTGGACGGGACCATCGCTGTCTAACGTTGTTGTCGTTAAATTGAGATCAATTTTTTTCCTGGCTGCTGGTTTTGGGGACGATGAGGCAAGAAGTATGCTTTTGGTGGCGTTTAGCTTCTCTACTGGCAAGTCTTCACTCTTGTTATTATTATTACTAGCGGGTAGGGATAGTTTCGGTGGCGCTGGTGCCAATCCTTTTTTCGCTGCATGCAGGCGTACGCTTTTTCGCGTTGTATCGCCGCGATTTAGATCAGCAGGCGTTTCCATAGCGCTTGTCACTTCCGTACTATTAAAATACAATATAAAATTAGCTGTTTCACTCTCTTCCGTCTATTACTACCACTGTCTCTTTCCGGAATAGCTTCTTTGTTTTGTTGTTGTGTTGAATGTTGACGACGTTGTTTCTGCTGCTATGATTTTCACCGAGTTAGGAGATTGCTGCAACTTTTTCTTTTTCTCTCTGTCTAACGTCGTCTTTTGCTCACTTTTTAATATTTTATTATTATTTTTTTTTTTTGTATTAATGCTTTTGTCTTTTTTTATATGTATGCAGATATGTATGAAAGAACATTATACACAGACTGCGAGTGTGCGTGTGTGTGTTGTTTGCGCATCAATAGCAACAAGTAACTGGTAAAGTTTTGCGAAAAAGTTGTAAAGATTGTTCGGGCCTTGTTCATTGCCGCCCATCGATTTTCACATCACTGCTACTGCTTATTCAGCAAAGTTTTTAAACATTTTTACCGCTTCTCCTACAGTTATTTTTACACTTTATCACCTTCCCATGTGTACAGAAGCTTAATATATATATATACATATGTATATATATACATGTATATATATATATATGTATGTATATGTGTATGCATACACATATGAATGTATGAATGTACATTAATAAGTACATAAATACATACATATATATGTACGTAGACACATTCATATGTATGTACAAGTAATATGTACGCTTGTTGCTATTGCCGCTTGCGTGCGGTTGGGTTGTTAACTACTTTAATTCGCTCCGACCGCTATTCTCCTGCTTTCTAAAATTTGCAACAGCAATGGGATTTTATAGTAGTAGATAATAAGAACAGTATTTAGATTTTGAAAATGATATACATATGTATGTATGTACATAATTGGGACTTAAAATTGTAAAGTCTAGTAAAAGTGACACATATATGGAATGTATTTCCATGGAAATACATGTATATAAATATATACATATATATGTATATATATATACCTATATGTATGTATGTACATGCGTGTCTGTATAAATGTATAAGTAGGTATTAACAACAAAAGTCAACAAGAAGAGCTAATCTATCTCCGCTAGTGACACTGAAATCAACACATACACGCAAGCGCAGAGCGCTCTAGGGAGAGAGCAAGTGCACACATACACCTGCGCAACCTGTGTAAGTGTGCGTTTAAATTAATGTTGGCTGTCACATACATACACACTCAAACACACACTTCAGCGCTTGGTTGCACAAGTTCAGTTCAAGTTCCCGGTTGCTCAGGCTGTGTCACGCTTTTCATGCTTTGCTCTCTCCCAGAAATGGCAATTTAGCTGACTCTTTAACTTTTAAGCTCTTATTATATTTATGATTCATTTAGTTTTTTCCCCTTCTTTTTTGTACTTAGTTCAGTATTTAGATAGATTTATCAACTTAGTTACACTTGTAGTTAATTTTTTCTTGAGTCACTTGAGTGAGCAACTGGGAACATTGGCTGGAAAAAGCTCACACTCACACACAAACGCTCATGCCAAATACACACACATACACACAAATGTGTACTTAAAAGTCGAAAGCAAATGAACTACTTTTTTAGACTATTAAAGTCGAATTTTTCGCTAGAAGAAAACAAATGCTTTGTTCGCTTTATACATAAGGCGGCGATATTTCACTTCGTTTTTTATTTTCGTACAGCAATCGCGATTTTGATGTTTATCAGATATCTTATCAGTCACACGCGGCGCCCTAGTAGCATTATGCTCATCATTAGTTATATACATACGTATATATACATATATATGCACGAGTATATGTAGCTGATTATTCCTGCATCGTATGTATGTATATATATATTTATATACTATATACTCGTATTTATATATGTATATACATATATATATATATATATAAATAAGTTCCTACATTTATTTATTTATTATTTATACGCATAATTGATTTGTTTTAAAATTCCGTTTTCTATTAAAAATTTGTTTAACGTTTCTGACGTAAACACCATCAGCTAAAAGCCAACTACAGTCAACAGGCAGCGACAACTCAGCAGCTTGCAGCCAACAGCCACTTTAGCCACAGCACAGCAACAACTGGAGTGCGAGTACTCCGAGTGTCGTCGATACCAGCACTACTACCAGCAATATCAACCAACAGACGACGACGGCCTCAATACTCATACACACGCACACATACAAAAATAAGAGGCAATGATACAGTCGAGCAAGCCCGACTACAGAATACACTGTAGCCAAAAACAACGTCTACCGGATGTGTTATACTAGCATGATTCGCCAATACTTGAATTAAAGTAGAAATAGAAGTAGAGAATCACATAAATTTTACTTTTTTATATTTATTTCGTAAAAGCTGTACTAATTAAATTCTTTAATGCAAGAAAGGAGAAATAAGAACTAGTATTGCATATTAAATAAGAGAGTCTACATACAAATTTGGTAAATGTAGGTTTTAGCCGTAGCTGAAATCCAGACATTCAGGCAGAGGTACTTGGTTTTGCTGATCAAGAACATATGAATATAATTTTATGGTCGGAGATGCTTCTGTTTGTCTGTTGCATACATGTACATAAACCCAATTCACTCTTGTTTACCTCGGGTACAGGGTATAACAACGCTAGTGAATAACCGACGTTCTCCCGTGGGCCGCTTTCGTTAGTATTTGTTTTGTACCCATACAAACAAACGCTCGCACACATACACACCACCACAGACGCATGGAGCACATCATGAAAGCCCACTTCTGGCATATCTGTCTATTTCTTGACAAAGAGCCCGTTCGGAGCGCTGATTTATAAATGTGCTTGGCCGTGTGTGTGTATTTATGTGTATAACTGTGTGAATAAACTGATATCACCTGAGCGGAACGCTGAGAAGTAAACGTTCACTCGAGAGTAGCTTACACACACTCACACGCCCATTCATATAAACATACATAGAAGTGTGTATGCATGTACACAATATACATATGTGTGCGTTATTTTGAGCTAAGACTCAAAGCATTGTCAAACCTCTGACGTAAATCAGCGAGTTCGTCTCTGATTTATATAAAACATTACTAACGAACGCTATGTTCCTATTTAAATTATATACTTATAGACGTATACTACATATAGTATACATATACACTGTACATATGTAAGAAAGTTCGTTAAAGTTTGCTCATAAGTACTGATAATAAACGTAAATATCGACGTATTAAAATATTTTATTGAAGCTGCTGGAAAAGCTGGCTTTGCGCGATCGCCCAATATAAATTATTGTAACTGTAACTTGAACCTTTCTACTAAAAAAGCTTAAATTTAATGAAAAAATTCGGACTTGGGAAAATGGGGGATTCAAGGTTAGAAACCACTTTAAAAAAAAAAAAAGCCCTTATATTCATGCATATGTATGTATATACGTCATCTTCAGGGAGCTTACATTCCCTTGTAAATATACTTTATCCTGTTTCGTTAGCAGATATATGATGCAATGATTCAATCTTATATATATATATATAGTAATCATTTAAAAAAACTGTACAACAATCTCTTCTGGATATTTCACAAATCAGATCAAACAGTCTTCTATTCACAAGGTTAAAAATAAGGAAAATTAAAAACGGTGAGACCATGAGACTATGTCACCTTGTTTTCATGATTATTACATTATGATTATTTGTTAATACTTGCTCCTGCTACACAAGTATATAGAATGATTTATAATACTTATATGGCAGAAGCCACATGCAATTATACAGAAAACCTAATAAATGAAGATTACAACAATTGTAGCGACGTAAGCCTAACTTTTAAATACAACACTTTGAAATTGCAGACACTTTTAAGCCTATAAGCTTCATAAGGGTTATGTAAATAGAATAGAACTGAGGAGGAGGGCCACAATTTTATGCAAATTTTGTAGCTTTTGAAATGTGGACAATATTGACGAAATTCTGTAGCGGGGAGAGTAGGAAAACCAAAAAATATGAAACAAATTCGTGTTGCCTTGGGACTAGGAGCGTCTACATACCAAGTTTGGTTAATGTGCGCTCAGCCGTTTCCGAAATCCAGGCGTACATCCAGACGGACAGACAGACTGACATGTCTAGATCGATTTCTCCCGACATAATGATTAAGAATATATGTATATACTTTATGGGGACGGAGATGCTTTCTTTTAACTGTTACATGCTCTGCACAAATCTAATATACCCTTTTTACCCTACGGGTACAGAGTATAAAAAAAACAACAACAATCAAGAAGGGAAGGGACACTTGGTACCCGGTCGCTTTTCCACAGTTCTACAACTCAAATAAACTTTAATGCAACAATAATTTTCATGACAACTTTAGTGCACTTAGGAAGATAGTGAGCCATGATAAAAAATAAATATAAAGTTTACAATTAACTTGGTATGCGTCTGGTTAAGAAAAGCTTTCAGAAAAGCCGACAGACGGATAATCAAACGAACATGTCTATTTCAATTTCTCTCACCACTGATCACAAATTTACCTTAACATTGGGTATATAAATACATACAAGTACGTTCTATTTTCTTAGCATACCCTTTTTTCCTTGGCGACATGATTAACTACTTTACTGAAACTATTACGAATTTCCTAAGAATATTTTGTAGCTGTGTAGTCCTTTTTTATTTTATATTTGTTGAGCTTGGCTTCTAATGCTATATGATTGAACTATAAGCTGAATGCCAATTTTTATAATTAAAGATTTGTAAACCTTACACATTAATACAAAATTTGTATAAGACCTTTTCCTCAACAAAATATTGCAAATTGTGAATTAGACTTTCGACTCAATATAAATTGAACGCGGATTTCATTTGAGTCTAAATTTTTATAAAATGCAATCAGAATATGATAATAATGGTATGATAATAATTTTGGTCTAAAATTTGAACGTAAACAGAAAATCTGAAAGAAAATAAAAATAATTAGGAAAATAATAGCACTCATATTAGCACAACAGGACGATATTATAAATGAAAATTAAACGAAAGCCAAAACCGATGCCAATACACAGTTCCGCAATTGCATAATTCCGAAACACACATGGTAAATTAATGAAAATTGTATATGTATTTAATGATCTTTTGTAAACAAACACATGTAATGGAAACATTAATAAGACTGACATATACAAATCAAAACAGTTAAAACAGTACAAAGGAGGAGCTAATGCGGTGTAAATTAAAATTCCTAACTCTTCCCGCCCTCTACCTATTATTACGCTATTACTAACTAATAGTTATCTACATACCCTCGAAGTACGCGCCTTTTCGGAGGCTGCTGACGCCCCATCCTTATTCTTGGGTCGTTCCGCCTTACTGGTGGCCACAATGGGCAGACCGCCGTTCTCGATCATGGTGACTACAATTTTATTGTTTCGATTGCCAACATTTGAACTGCTTGGAGTATTTTGTTTCTGACCGGAGCTCATTGTTGTTGTTAAAGCAAGCGTCTTTTGACGCATGGCATTCGATAGTCGCTGCCTCCGCTCACTGCGTACCTCCTCTTTGTCTTTTTGTAGCTTTGCGATTGTGGCGGGCGTATGACTTTTTGATCTTTTTAAAAACTTCATTAACTGGGTTTTCACATTGCTGGCAGCACTCCCACTTCCGGCGTCGCATTCAATGCCACCCATATTGTCAAGTTTGGAGGAGCGTCGCGATATCTGTGGTTTAGCGGGAATCTCTAAACGCCGAAATATACCGTCCGCCATTCGCACAAAACATCCTTCGGACATTTTGTGAAATGAATCCGAGGGTAGCTTGTGATAATCTCCATTTGGACCCCTATAATAACAGTGGTCTGTCTTATGATATCCATCGCCTACAATGTAGAACTCATTGCGACTCTCTTTGGCTGGTTCTGGCGCGGCCAGATCTTCGGTTTTCGCGCTACGGTCTCCTTTCAGTTGAAAGCTTGTCAGATTGTTCGTGCTACTCAGACTAATATCGCCAACAGCATCCGAGACAATGCAGCTCGCCGGCAAATTACTCTGCGGTTTTAGCTCACTTATGGTTACAGGGCGCCGTATGGGATCGCCCATGTTCTTACGCATAATGCTGCCATTCCGGAGCAATGAGTCGCGTAAAATGGTAAGATCATCCTTTCTTAACGGCTGCACAACCGTTGAATGATTCTTTGATGATGTTGATTTGCGTGTCGATGTACGTCGATTTGAGAAATGTGTTGTAGCTGAGTCTGTTGTTTCAGATGCATCGTCTTTGTTGTTATTGTTGTTGTGACTGCTCGGGTGCATTTGCCGATGGCTGCTCGTTTGACCCATGATTTATAAATGTTTTTGGATTGTCACAGGTTTATTTTTGCAAATATAGGCTTTTTTAATTCAAAAGCTTAACACTGACAGCATATTCTTCAGAAGTTGCGGCTTCAATAAGCGAACACGCATAAATATGGAAATTAACGACATACGGTCGTATGCGCAATGTAAACATATCTATATATACATATATATTTTTATACATATGTGCACATTAAAGTGGGCATTCGCAAGCACAATTCCACTGCAGCAGTTTTTTATTTAGTTTTTACATATGTACATATGTATGTATCTAGATACGTAGTATTCATGTATGAGTATATGTGAATACTGTCAAGCTCAGCTTGTTTAATTCTATTAGGGCATTAACAACACAACAAATGAAAATTGATGCCAGATCTGTTCACAGTTCCAGCCGCTGTCGCAGACCCAGAATCAACCATTATTTTCACATTCATTCTATTTGTGTCTGCTCCGCTTATATATGATTATTTGTACTATGTACTTGCGTTTTATTTATTACTATTATTATTATTTATTTATTTTTTGCAATCTTGTTGCGCGTTGCTAGTTACATGTCCAAGTTAGTGAAAGACAACGAACCGAAAAGCAATATCAGTATACAGCGTTTTCTTATCAGTTATCGCACTTTAAATATCTAACCAAATACATACATACGTAGAATGTACATATCCACATATATTTGTGTGTGTATGCCAAAGATACGATAATAATTTCCACACAAACTCAATCCACAAAGTTGGAACGCAAGCATTTGCGGTTGGGCTACAATTTTGAGCACGGTCAGAAGA